GCATCTGAGTCTTGATTGCAACTCAGGTCATGATCTCACAGCTCAAACCCCTCATCAAGCTATGAATTGAGTAAGGAGGCTGCTTGGATTCTCCTTCTCCCTCTCTGTGCCCTTTCCCCATTTGTGTGCACACACTCACTCTCTCTAAAAATAAATAAATTTTGGAAGTACCTGGGTGGCTCAGTGAGTGGAGCGGCCGACTTCAGCTCAGGTCATGATCTCACAGCTTGTGAGTTCGAGCCTCGTGAGCCTGAAACCTCTTTTAGATTCTGTGTCTTTCTCTTGCTCTGCCCCTCCCTCACTCATGTTCTGTCTCTGTCTCTGTCTCTCTCAAGGATAAATAAAACATTAAGAACTTTTTTTAATTTAAAAAAAATAAATTTTTTACCAAAGTGGGGGTGGGGGGGCACTTGGGTAGCTCAGTTGGTTAGGCATCCGCTTCAGCTCAGATCATGATCTCAGGGTCTGTGGGTTCGAGCCCCGCATCAGGCTCTGTGCTGACAGCTCAGAGCCTAGAGCCTACTTGAGATTCTGTGTCTCCCTCTCTCTCTGCCCCTCTGCTACTCACACTCTCTCTCCATCTCTCAGAAATGAATAAATGCTAAATAACTTAAAAAAAAAAAAAAAGAACTTGGGAGACATAGCTGTGCTCTCTGCAGCTAATATCTCTGGGGCCAAATAGACTGCAACCTTCTCTGAGCATCGGCTCTTCTCTGCTGCGGTTCAGTAGCTTCTCTGAGATTTCAACATTTCGACCACCTCCGTTTCATACACCAGACTAAAGAGCCGCCCGTGGCCTGGAGCCGGGGGAAGGCTACGTTGTGTTGGGAGGCGTGTGACACGCCATCACCACTGAAGGTGCTCTGGTCCTCACTGTGCTCGGCCAGAAAGGCTCCGGCAGGCCTGCCAGGACTGTGAAACTCACGGTCATGTGAGGCCATTTGACGACCCCGCACCTGCTGGCCGCTGGATTCCTTCTACAACATCTCCCCCCAGTGGCTGGTCGGCCCTCCGCTCCACCAGCTCCAGCGACGAGAGGCCACGCATCCTAAGTTGGAACGACTTTATCCAAACTGTGCCTGGGACTGAGCAGCAGCCTCACGTCCCTCTGGCACTGGCTGGGGTGACCCGAGTCAACATCTCAGAGCCAGTTAGGACGGGAGACTCCGTGCTGCCGTGTGCGGGTGTGACTGAGCCAGCTGACCACAGCTCCCTCTGGTGACAAGAGAAAGGAAACGAGCTGGTGCCTCCTCCCAAAAGGTGCCAACGGGGTGACTTCCAGGCTCAGAGCTGCTGGCACGCAGTCAGGCCCCTGATCGCTCTTCCTTTCTTCTGCCATGTGACGAGTCTTCGGACACCAGGAAGGCCTGTCCCGTTTCCTCTGAGCGCCCCCTCATCCCGGGGAAACGGCCTCTTTAACTGCGCCTCATAGGACCCGTTTCCAAGACCCTCTACCCTCTAGAACTCATTTCCGCTTCTCACGGCGGCTTGTTTCTCTCTCTCTAGTTTTGTTTCATCATCCACGTTAGTTTAGGGACAAACGGGGCCAGACGCGTCCTCCGAGAGCCAGGAAGGGAGAGGCACAGGGGAGACCCCTCGCAGGGAAGCCTGCCCTGGAGATGGTGCCAGCCATACCCCCTGACGGTCGTCCAGAGACGGTCCGATGGAACTTCGGGACTCCGCCAACCAGCCTTGACCATTATGTTGGTGGGGAGGTTCCCCGCTCCTCCGGGCTGGCCCCGGGGGGAATACTCTTCAAGCTCGGCTCCCTTCCCTTCCAGGTCAAGGACGTGATGGCTGGAGCGGGGATGAGTCTGAACAGTGGGGGGCGGTGGCTCTTCTCGGTAGCCAGCCCATGTCTCACCAGCTCGGGCTGCTGCCCCATCACCCCAAACGGGGGCACTTCAACAGTAAGCATTTCTTCCTCTCAGCTGTGGAGGCTCAGACGTCTAAGATCACGGGCCTGCAGACTCGGGGTCTGGTGAGAAGCTGCGTCCAGGTTCACAGCCGCCATCTGCCCGAGCTGCTTGAGGTCACTGCTTTGGGGCACCAGCCCCACTCGAGGGGACTCCACTCTTGGGACCGAAGCATCTCCAGAGGCGCCCCTTCCTCAACCATCACATGGGGGGCCAGGATCTCAACCCAAGGACACACACAGGCCGTCCACACCACAGCTCCTTCGCTGCGCAACCCCACCTGCCGAGAGGTCAGTCTGAGGTGTCTCCTTCTCCTCCCCTAAGTCCTCTCTAATCCTGAGCAATCATCTTTCCCCCTACAGAGTGCACCTCGTGCAGGGGTGTGGCTCTGCTGTTACTCAGCCCTGGCCCCATCCCCAAGAACAGGATGCTCGCCTGGGAAGACACTTGTCAACTGTGAAAGCCGGGTCCAAGTTCAGAGCCCTCCTGACCTGGCACAGCTCCCCAAGCAACCCTCTGGGCGTGCCACGCTCCATACCCTGGGGCCCCCTCACCCCGGTTCAGCCTCACACCATCCCGTCCCCATCAGGCAGCACATGGCACAAATACTGCCTCCCCCGCAGGAGAGCAACAACTTCCCTTAAGGGTTTGTCACTTCCCTTAAGACGTCCTCAAGTCGGGGGCACGCCTTGGTGGCTGTCGGTTGAGCGTCCAACTTCAGCTCAGGTCATGATCTCACGGTTGGTGGGTTCCAGCCCTAAATCAGGCTCTGTGCTGACAGCTCAGAGCCTGGAGCCTGCTTCGATTCTGTCTCCCTCTCTCTCTGCCCCTCTCCTGCTTGTGCTCTGTCTGTCCCTACCTCTCTCAAAAATAGATGAACGCTAAAATAAATAAATAAGTAAAAAGACATCCTGAAGTTGGAGCCTCCGGATAAGTTCAGCAACTCAGCAGTGTCATCAAAGACCAGGAGTCTGTCCCCCTTTCTGCCCCGCCAGCCTCAGCACCCCGCTTTCATCTCCGCTCTCCCCTGGTGGCGGTAAAACAGCTGCTAGCGCTGCAGGTGTGAGCGCTCCGTGCAGCCCGTCCGCGGCCGGGAAGGTTGCGCTCGCCTCCAGCGCCTCCTCTGTTAGCAGCAAAACCCTTCCCTGAGCTCCCAGCAGATGCCCCTTCAGAGCCCACTGGCAGGAATGGATCACCTACCCAGGGCCCACCGCCCACCCTGACGTCCGATGCACTGGGGGCTCTGCTCCCAGGAAAGAGGGGAGACGGCTGGGGGTGCCAGGGTATCTGCACACCACGGCCGGCCTGCTGGCGTCCCCTGCTCCCGGACGGGTGGCCCGGCTCAGGGACCTGCAGGCTTTGGTGCCTGGCCAGGTGAGCAATGCTCCGCCACGGCCCGGGGGACCCCAGGGAATCTAGGAAGCACGCGTTACAGCGCGAGCTCGGGGGACTCCTGCGCTGCAGAACATGTTTCTTTTATGCCCTGGGCCACCAGGGAAAGTACTCTGCCAGAGGCCTTGTCCCCTGCTACATGGTCTAAATGTCAGGAATCCTGCATTTTTTCCGTTTGGCTGTAACTTGTATGCCATCTCTCAGCGACGGTGGGCGCAGTGCGTCCGGAAGGGCCTCGATCTTCCTATCTCGGATCCCCATACTCTTGGTGGAGCTTGGGGAAGGCGAGGGCTTAACCCTGGAGCCATGCTTCGGGAGAGAGAGACATTCAGCGGGAAGGCGCTCGAGCCACTGACCCACGTGTCAAAGGGACCTCCAGGTCTGGTCACAATGGCTCATTAGGCTGCGTCACCCCGAAGCCCTATTTCTATTCGTGTTTGGTTGTTGTTGTTGTTTTAACTTTACATTTTCTCAAGCTAGCACTCATCCCTGATTTCAATTGGTCAGACATCTCCAAATCCTACTTTTGATATCAAACATAATAGCTCTCACTCTCTGCCTTGTGTTGTGTGCAAATTCCATATCCTCAGTCCAGGAACCGATAAAAACTCAAAGCAGCCAGTCAGAGAAGCCACAATAACCCCCGTAAGAAAATCCTTACAGCTCTCTTCTAGGTTCCTCAAATGCACAATGTAAAAAAATCAATTAAAGGAGCTTACAAACTTCATGAATGCCAATACTTCCATGAATCAGTCCATTGTATTCTGAGGTTGCAAGCCCAGACACCATCTAATTCTTGGGAAGATGAACCAGAAACCCAAAAAAAGCAAGTGATATATGTCTTTGCAGATTCTTGGTGCCTCCAAGAATCTGCCAGGAGCAGGTCTAGAAAATTACTGAATTTATCCAGGTTCCACAAGCCCTGCCTCCGCCCATCACACCTGCCTGGCCAGGAGCCATGATGGTCCCTCTCCAAGCGTGCCCGGCCCAGCTATAGAGCTAGTCAGAGTGACAGGCAGGGGCACACACCAAACCACACTCGGTCGTAGAGAATTCGCTCTTCAAAAAGAAATCGGGGGCTACTGGGGAGGGACGGACAGTGGCAGCCAAAAATCTGACGGGCCCCCACGACCGTCACGCTGTTTTCTTCTTTCAGAGATCTTCACACACGCTAACACTCACTTCCGTAATCGTCTCACTTCTGAATACACAGTCCATAAGATTAGGGGTCCTGCGTGTCTATCGGCACCAAATCAGAAAAGCTTATTACACAGTAGACAGTATTTGCTGAATGAATGAGTCCCCAGCGGCTTCTCATTTAAATGAAAATTCTCAAACTGATCATATTTTCATGAGTTTAGTTAAAAATACAAACCATCTCATTTTACCAAACCTCCACAGGGGAGCCTGGGTGGCTCAGTTAAGCATCTGACTGGCTCAGGTCACCATCTCATGGTTTGTGAGTTCGAGCACCACGTTGGGCTCAGTGCTGACAGCTCAGAGCCTGGAGCCTGCTTCAGATTCTGTCTCCCTCTCTCTTTGCCCCTCCCCTGCTCACGCTCTGTGTGTGTGTCTCTCAAAAATAAAAATAAACATTAAAAAAAAACCCAAAAAAACCCATAATGACAGTTTGGCATTTGCGTTACAGGTACAGGTATATGATAGGGAGCGCAACTCTTTTCTGTGATACACGGGGATTATTCGAGCTGCCGTTTAATATAATAACTTTTCAGATACATGAAGGCGGTCTATTCACATTCAGAGGTTTTCCTTAATTTGTCTTCATCTAAATCAGTCAGGTCTCTTCTTAGAAACGAGAATACTAAACAAGCAGCTACTTTCATAAGATAAAGACGTGAGTAGCAAAAATAATCTGTAACTTCTGTGAATAAACCTTTCTTTAGTATCTGGAATAACAAATACCACTTACAGACCAAAGACTTGGTGTCATGAGTTGTACAAAAAGAGTCCCCTGTTCGGGCACCATCATGCTGACAGCTGCTCAGGGCACTCGGGAAAGCAAGGCTACAGGAGGCCACGTGACCGGCGCAAGGCAGGTACCGAGCAGGGACGCGATCCTGGGTGTGGCGGCGGCCAAGCTCACGACGGCCTATGTTGTTCCCACCAACTCCGCTGCATCGGGCATCGCCTCCGACCTCACTTCCTCACACCCGAGACCCCACCGGTGGCAGCTACAAGCACGTTGTGACATGCAAGGCTGCCAACCACAGACACGAAACACCGTCAACTGGAAGGTACGTCATGACGTCAGAAATGTTCGGATGTGTGTGTCTACACACACATTCACACACACACATGCATCTCAGATCTAAGAAGACACAGGAAGCCACCGGGCTCGGAACAAATTATTTCTGAGCAGTTATAAAACACGAGGGCCTAAGTCCTTAAGAACATTAACTTTGCCATGAAGTACAGAAAAGAAAGACAAACGTTCACTATAAATAAGTCAGAGGAAACTGCAAATACTTGCTACTACAGAGCCTCTTTAAAAAGCATTTCTGTTCATCTCTGGCATTAAATCCTACTTTTTACAACATGAGGAGCTGTCCCCATCTTTCCCGCCCATCGATGCTGACTGTCACATCCATATTTTCATACATCTGAGCGCATGGAAAGGAAGGCCACTTTTTGAATATGTCGTGGAAGGGACTTTAAATCTACCTGCTGTTCTGAACTTCTGTTTGTTTTCCAGAAGTTAAGCAAAGTAATGGTTTTTCATTCCACACCGTAGAAAAATACTCTTTCCTGAAGACACAGCCGTACATCTCTGCCAAACCGAAGACACCGTCCCTCGGGAAACCACTCTCTGTAAAGTCTACGTTCGCGCAACCAACTGGAAGGTCTTCAGGGCCTCCTGCCTCGCAGCGTGCGCAGGTCGTACGCCCACACGGTGTCCACCCCCTCCCCGGTGACGTGGTCTGGGGTCCAGCGAGGGAAAGGGAACCGGCAAGCAATGACCCTGGCGTCATCTTTCAGTTCAAGCTCAAGTTTCTCCTCCAAGCGCGGCATCTGTGCAGAACGACAGTCATTATGTCAGTTAAGCAAGCAGGTGGAGGAAGAGATTCCCAAATGCCCTTGTGGAGTTGAGGGCCCGAAAATACCTGTGCAGAAATTAGCAGCTGTAGGAAAGATCACCAATACATTATCCATCGATCCATTAAGTCACGGAAGTCACATTAGCAACAGTTACAAGAACATCTTCAATCAAACAATCAATCAAAAAATCTGCCGTTTTTAGCAGAGGTGACAGATTTCCTACCTAAAACCAGGACGCGACACTCGTTAAAATGAGAAGCAGCTTTAAATTATTTGCCCATCTAGCATTTCAGTCCACCTTGTCTCAACACATTTTCCTACGTTTTTTAACATCTCTGAAATCAAGATACACCTTACAATGGACGTAATCTTAGAATTACGATCGGCAGTATTTTTTCTTTCTCAATAGCAATGGGGCATCTTAAAATTAACAGCATCCAGATTCAGTGAAATGTGGTATTTTGAAATAAGACCATCAAAAAATATACTCACTCTGCCAACTTGAAATATAATGAAATATTTCATAATTCTTCAAAGAGGTATCTACAATACACTGATAATTTTGTGATAGTCAACATAATTTCAAAAAAGTAAAATCCTTATTTATCATTTTTAGATCCTTTTATTACCAATCCACCTGCTGAAAACACTGCCATCATAATTAAAAGGGCAAATTAACAATCGCATAAAAATTTATCTTCAGATCCTACCAGCTTTACCTCCTAAAAACATTTTTTCTGCTTTCTTCTTTTAATTTGTTATTTTGAAGAAATTTCAAATTTACAGAACAGTTGCAGGAATAGAACAAAGGATTCCTGTACTTCTTACCCGGCTTCACCAATTTTTAATACTCTGTCATATTTGTTCTCTCCGATCTGCCCTCTTCCTCTACGAATACTCTTCCTAAAGCGTTTGAGAACAGGCTGCATACAACATGCTCCTTTATTCCTTGATGCCTCAGTGTTTTCTAAGACATAAGCCCAGCTCAGTTACCAAATTCAGGAAATTTAAGATTGTATTCCAGTAATAATAATTCCAATCGCATTCCAATGTTGCCTAATGTCCCAACGACGTCCTTTATAAGCTCTTCCTCATGACGTCATATGGTATTTGGCCAGAATGTCTCCTTAGTCTACTTCACTCTGGAGCAGCCCTGCGACCTTCCTTTGTCGCTCATGACATTGTTAGGAACACAGGCCAGTGATCCCCAGAGGCGCTCCCCTTGGATCTTCTGATGTGTGCCCGTGACAGCCGAGCCCGAGCATCTCTGGCAAAGTCCCACAAGCAGGGGCGGTGAACTTCTCAGGGCCCCACAGTCAGGCCCCCATGAGGACCGTCTGCCCTGAGAGTGATGTCACAAGCCGGTGTCTCCACAGTGGGGTTGCTAATTTTCCTTTATAATGAGTAATGTGTCAGACGTAGCGTGAAACGATATGAGTATCTGCCACTCACTGAGCTGTCCCTCACCAGATGGAGTCCTCTTGATGGTTCTGGCCTGAGTTAATTTTCACTGGAAGGTTGCAAAGTGGCCAGTTGCTAATTACATCACTCCTTTCAGTCTGACAGCATTCTACCGCAAGGAAGGACTCTCCCTTCTTGTCTACCTGCCTCCCTATCGCCCTAAGTACATGCTCCTGGATTCCTGTCTCATTCAGCGGGTCCTAACCCGTTCTCACCCTTGTTTCCTCTGATGCTCTGACTGCCCCCGTCTGGCCACTGGGAGCCTCCTCAAGTTGGCTTCTCTCGCCTTTGGATGTGCCCCCAACAAATATTCTGAACGCGTACTTCCTTAGACTTGGGATCAACAAAACTCCAGGCTTTCGTTATCGATCCCCAACTCAGCCCTCAGATCAGACACCCCTCAAACATTCCTGGTTCCTCTAAACGGGAAATAATATCTCAAAACCAAGACCTGAGCAAAACGAATCCCTTTAAAACCAACCAAATAAATCAAGACAAACAAATCAATAGCGCTCTATAAAAACTTTATTCCTGACCTATATCTTTAAAAAGTGGCTTGGGGAAAGTCCTCTGCATGGCCTATGGCTACAGAGAACCAAGATCCTAATTCTTCGTTACAATTAATTCCAAGATAACAAAGAATAAATTCCATTAGGGACGGGATATTTCTACTCTTTTAACAGCCAGTAAAAGATTTCCTTAAAAAAAAAAAAAAAAGAAAAGAAAAGAAAGAAAGTTTTGTTCATTGAGGGAAAAATTAAATCAGCACAGAATGAAACAATATGTATGTTTCCAAAATATCAAAGGTTTCTTATGGTAATTTTGTTCATAAAAAGAATAATTGTAAACTTATTCATGTCACCATTATTCTTTTCTCTTTTACAGTTTCTTTTATTTCCCAATGACTGTCATATGCTAAGTCAAGATACAGCCACAAATGAAAGGCGCTATTTCAATCACAAGAAATTAACTGGCTAAATTACACATAAATATGCAATGAGCCTGGGTCTTTAGATCACTCACAGAGAGAGGCAGTGATGTGTCGTGTGTGTCTAATGGAATTCACAATTATTCATACAATTACAGGCTTCAAAGTGACACAAACTCATCATATTCTCCTTACATCTTCAAAACTTTAGGTCCAACAGAAGACATGAACAGACTCCTCCAAAGAGGACATCCAGATGGCCAACAGACACATGAAAACGATGCTCAGCATCCCTCCTCATCAGGGAAATACAAATCAAAACCACACTGAGATACCACCCACACCAGTCAGAGTGGCTAAAATGAGCAAATCAGAGGATCCTAGATGCTGGCGAGGATGTGGAGAAACGGGCACCCTCCTACACTGTTGGTGGGAATGTAAAATGGTACAGCCCCTCTGGAAAACAGTGTGGAGGTTCCTCAAATAATTAACAGTAAAACTCCCCTAGGACCCAGCAATAGCACTGCTAGGAATTTACCCAAGGGATACAGGAGTGCTGATGCATAGGGGCACATGTACCCCAATGTTCATAGCAGTTCTCTCAACAATAGCTAAAACATGGAAAGAGCCTAAGTGTCCATCAACGGACGAATGGATCAAGAAGATGTGGTTTATCTATACAATGGAATACTACATGGCAATGAGAAAGAATGAAATCTGGCCACGTATAGCAACATGGAGGGAACTAGAGGGTATTATGCTGAGCGAAATAAGTCAGGCAGAGAAGGACAGATACCATATGTTTGCACGTATAGGAGGATTAGGAGGAACTTAATGGAGGACCGTGGGGGCAAAGAAGAGGAAAAATGGTGGGGGAGAGGGAGAGAGGCAAACCATGAGAGACTCTTGAATGCTGGGAACAAACTGAGGGCTGATGGGGGTGGGGGGAGGGGAAGGGGGAGATGGACATAGAGGAGGGCACTTGTGGGGATGAGCACTGGGTGTTATATGGAAACCAACTTGACAATAAACTATGAAGGGGGAAAAAAACAAAATAACCTTTAAGCCCAAGTTGAAACCAGCTCTAAGACAAGACAAATTAGCCACGCCCGTGAGCAGTTCTTCGGGCCAATTGATGGCTCCCTCCTCCTCAAATCGTCCCCAGGCTTCTAGGGTAACCCTCAACCCCCGTGGGCTTCCCTCCTACCCAACACCTCCTCTCGGGTCCTTTGCTGGGTGCCCCTCTTTTATCAGAGGCCAGAACTCAGGACTTGACCCACTCTGCCTCCTCCCCGGTGACATCGGCCACTCTGCGCCTCTGGGACTGATGTGCAATCTCCAGCCCCTCCCCTTCCTGAGCCGCAGACCCCTCCAGGTACCACTGCCAACCTCCCACCTGCACGCACACCTGGGGCTTCACCTGCCGGAGGAACTCCTGGCCCTCTCCCCCAGCACCTCTGCCTGCACCCCTCCTGCCTCAGTAACAACTGCAAACTTAGTTACTCGGGCCAAAACCCTCGGGCGGCTTTGGTCCCTCTTTCTCGTATGCTCCACACTGGATGTGCCGCCTCATACCATTCACTCCATCTCCACGATGCATCCAGAACTTGACCACTTCTGCCTGGACACAAGCCTAGCGCACCTACCGTCTGGATGCCTGCAAGAGCTCAAAACCCATCTCCCAGCTTCTACCCACATCCGGTGTCCACACAGCAGCCTGGGATCCTCTGCTCAAACCCACCACGGCGCCTGCATTGGAACAGCACAACGTCCTTCAGGTCCAGCCCCTACTTCCTGTCTGACATCACCTCTCCCTGCTCCTGACACTACCCGGGCACACACCCCTGGGCACCTCTGCAGTGGCTCTGCCTGGCACCTTCCCCCTTTCCTCCAAACGTCCCGTTTTCAGGGACTGTCTGTGGTCCGCCCCTCGGCACTTACCCCTGCTACTGCAGACATATTTTATGGACGTACCCAGGTAAGAGGTGCTCTCCCCGCAGTGTACAGGCACTTCAGGGCAGGGATGTTTCTCTTTTCCATTCACTAAAGTATCCAAGTGATTAGAACAGAGCCAGCATTTAGCGGCCCCAAATAAATGGACAGACAAAGGATAAAGGATTCCGTCGTGAATCATATATCTTTATCAGAACTCGGTATTATTTTTGCTCATCAATTCACAATAGGATCTGTAACTAAAATTAGTCTTTGAAGTTATGAAATTTAACACCCACTAGGAAGTACCATTAATGGGTATGTGTCTACCACACTCTTCATTCATTTAACAAGTATTTCCTGAGCTGTTACTTTGTGCTGGTGCTGCTGTGCAGGGGGTCTGGAAGCAAAGACGGGGCCGGCCCTCACTCTTGAGCTCACAGTGCGGTCCACACAGCAAACCTGCCGAAGCCATCATGTGAGGAAATACACAGCAACTCACTACAGAGATGGGAACAGGCACAGTGCGGATGGAAAACAGGGGTACTGGGGTTTGTCTCACGGGGCAATCAGGGACGACCTCCTGGAGGAAGACACCCGGCCTGTAATTGGTCAGTAGCTCACCAACCTGGCCCAGAGCTGGGGGGACTGAAGTCAGAAGGAAGAACACAGCTCACACCGTGGAGTCCAGGGGAAGAGGGCAGGGGGCTGGCACACAGAGCTGGGAGAGCAGGGGTCAGTTCGGGCCACATGGAGTGTTTGGGCCTTATCTTCGCTGCTTTAAAACAGCAAGACATCCACTCAGGTTTTAAACAAGGTCACGAATGATCTGTTCCACATTTTGAGAAGAGGAGCATGAGCTAGAGTTACATGTGGCTATTTGCCGTGCTAGCACTGGATCTACCAGAGCCAAACGGGATGCCTCACTCCTGGGGGGCCAGAGACACACCTGTGCTGAAATGTATTTCGAGCCACAAAAGCTCAGAGCTGTTAGCAAGTCAGGGTGGTATGAGAAGCGGGTGGACGAGTTCTAGAACGCCAGGCTTCCACCCCTCACGGGCCGCGCTTTCTCCCTGCCCTCCCTGGGCCTGAGTGTGCCTCGGCCGCCACAGGAAACGTTCGTGCTACGCTGGCGTGGGAGCCATGAGGCCATGACCGGATTGCCAACCAGCGCCGGGACAAGGGAAGCGCCTTTCACTAGAAGACCCCCGATCGGGGCTCCCGCAGGCGGCTCCGGGGGGCAGAGCCGGCCTCCTGAACCCCCAGCCAGCACCCTCCCCGCTCCCCGCAGGCGAAGCTACCACGGGGCCCTGCGCGCAGGAATGCACCCCTGTGGGTCCCGGGATGAGGCACCTGCGTGGGAAATGGCCCGCTGGCTGAACCCCTCGCTCACTCCGGGGAACGTGGCCACTTTGTGCACTGCAGTTGCCCCCCTTTGTCTCGGGAACAGTGCAGTGTTACGAGTTCTTTATTTAAGGGTTCTCTGTGTACAGAAAAATGGACAATTGCAAAAGCATTCATCAAAAAAAAAAAAATAGGACTCTTATTTCCGCTAGGTGAACAGCTCCACACACTGACCAAACTCAAACACGGGAAGACACACGGGGTTGGGGCCCAGGGGTTCCGTGGTGACGCCGCCAAAGGCCACTGCTGCCCCCCACTGGGGCCTGGGCAGCCCACATCTCGGGCCAGCATCAGCCAGCCTCTCAGCATGGCATGGAAGTCTCAATAAATATTAACTTTCTGTTTTCATAAAGCATGGAAATCAGATTAAATTTATTTGCTCTGAGATGCTAATTATTCCAAAGGAACAGCCAGACTTCACAGGTAGTAACCAACCAACAAGCTGCACGGCAGTGCCTGGGTCCCCAACAGTCTTCTCAAATGACTTGAAATCTCGCCCCTTGTAATTTCCTTTTTTTTTTTTTGTAAGTTTATTTATTTTGAGAAAGAGAGAGCATGAGGGGGGCAGAGAGAGAGGGAGAGAGAGAATCCCAAGTGGGCTCCACACTGGCAGCACAGAGCCCAATACAGGGCTCGAGCCCACAACCCTGGGATCCTGACCTGAGCCAAAATCATGAATTGGACGCTCAACGGACTGAGCCACCCAGGTGCCCCCTTCTCTTGATTTCTCTAACAAAAATGCAAACATCAGGTTTCATCTTAATTTTAGGCTTATTGAGATTTCCAAACACACAGAATCCTGTTCCTTTTAAGAATATGTAACAAAAGCACTTCTAAATCAACTTAAAAAAAAAGTGGCATTGTACTCAACTTTCTGATAGTCAGAATACATTTCTCAAGCACTAAACCACCTTAGACAAAAACTAAAGTGCGAATAAGAAAACAAAACAACCAAAAAGTAAATATCCCTTTTTTTAAAATTAAAAACCATACATATCAGTTATATAGTGGCATTTTAGCAAACATCCAATTTTGTCAAGGCTATTATGGCTACAATAACAGACCTTGAAAAATGAAAAGGGATTTCTTTCTATGGTCTGTAAACCAACAACGACAATAAAAGTACCCATCCTGGTCGTCTTTCCAAAGGCTAAATTCAGAACCATTTTCAGCCCAGACGCCACGGTATTTTCACTTGTGAAAGTACGTAATCAAAGTTTGATACAAATCAGTCAGCTGAGGTCAACTGCAACTAGCCACCGCTCACCCGCCCTCGAAAAGGCCTCAGTGCAAAGCCAGAGGGACAATCGATTGGAAGGGAACATGCCATGAACTCTCCCAGGTGACTTCAGCTGGGCGTTAAGTGAGCACCCGCCAAAGTCTCCCTCCAACCGCATCAGACGCTGGCAGCTCAGAAAGTAGTTTCCAGATTGGAACTTTTCGGGCTGAGGTAGGTCATTGAAAATTTTATCTGACGTAAAAGTTTTAACAACATGACTGAATCTTTTATGATTCAAGTTTCAAGGCCCTGAAGTACTTTGTCAAGCCAGTGAACTGAAATCTGATGTTCCCGCAGAATCCATAGGCTACTGCCGTGGGCGCCTGGCTGCTGTGGGCACGTGGGCGGGGGGCCACGGAGGCGCCTGGTGGAGCTGGAGGGGCCACCCACGACCAGGGTCAACCAACCAGGGGAAAGAAGGACTCATACTCACCATCTGGGGCACACCGAAAACAACAACGTTTGTGTACTGCGAAAAGGTAACCTAAAGAAGAGGGGAAACAATGCACAGATTAATTTTAAAAGGCCAAATATGAGGCTCCATTTCATCAAATAGTAGGTTTTCACAAGGAATGGCTCCCTTTAAGATTTCACAGGAAGAATCCACTGTAGTTCAATCTATTACAGTTTTCTACACGCCTCTCCATAAGTCACTCCTGGCATCGTCAGGGACACGCCACGCAGGGCCCCCCAGGGGTCATTTGTCAGACATGCCAGTGACGCATCCGGTGACCAGCTGGTGGCCACCCATGTCTCAGTCCACACTCTCTCTGTTACCCCAACATACGCCCAACTAGCTTGGCAAGGACTCGCAAGACCTGAGATCCGCCGGTCTTTCGTGTTGAGCCATCCTTAAAGTTCTAGTCCCCCCTTCTCCTCTCGAAAATACTAACCAAAAACTGAAACAAAATGGTCTTTAGTTGAAAAACTGGGGGGAAAAGTGCTTTGCCAGTCAAAATTCTTATTGCCCAATAAAAGTCTTATGTATTCTGTAGAGAGATCGTTTACATATATACCAGATAAAAAACAACGCAAGCAAAACTCAAGTGAATTCTTATAAACTACCGATGACAATATTACAATGGGAAATTCTTAGTTAAGAAAAAGCATTTTATGGATCTTCCCTAAAGCAAAATCACAGGGCATGGTTTTTTAGAGTACAAATAAATGTGGAAGATTCTCATACATTATGAAGACCAGAAAGAACCATGACAACATGGAGGATTCTTTCTTTTGCACTCATCTCTGCCTCTTGCAAAACACACCTACACACACGTACATACACAGACATGCGCACACACACCTATACGCATGCACAAGCACGCACACGCAGAAAGTCTACCATTTACCAAGAATGTTAACAAATTAATGTCTGTAATTTATAAGATTTCCAAATGAGGTAAAAAAAAAAAAGTCTCATCGTTTTATAATAAATAGAAATATAGAAATGAGAACTTTTTTAATTGAGCAAATTCTTGGAATTCACATGACCTATCAGGTTTAAAGCCTTAAGCTACTACTCTAAAAGAGTTGGCATGTAAACCTGTCAATTTAAAGGTGTTCACATTTCAGTATCCAGAAACATTATGCTTGTATTTTAACTATTTTTCCTTTAATACGGTTTACACTGGTTTTTCTTTTCTTATGTTTATTTATTTTTGAAGGAGAGAGAGACAGAGCATGAGCGAGGGAGGGGCAGAGAGAGAGGGAGACACAGAATCCGAAGCAGGCTCCAGGCTCTGAGCTCTCAGCACAGGGCCCGAGGAGGGGCTTGAACTCACAAGCCATGCAATCATGACCTGAGCCGAAGTCAGACACTTAACTGACTGAGGCACCCAAGTGCCTCCATTTTACTTTTTTTTAATCATACTAATTATGAAGTATAAAGTTTTGGCTGGCATTTCCTAGGACCATTCTTGCCTTACGTACCTTCCACAAATCTGAGATATAAAATTTGGCAGAGTCCTGCACCCCTTCTCGCCGAGCGCGGTACCTGGAGTACCACACTAGCCATGGATTTAACTCATAACCAACAGCGGTGAATCCTTCCTTTGCAGCTGCTATCACCTGCAGAAAGAAGTCAGTGTTTATTCAAGATAAAAATATCAACCTATGGAATGGGAGAAGATATCTACCAATGATATATTTGATAAGAAGTGAGTGACCAAAATACACAAAGAACTTCCATACTCAACACCAAAACCCCGAAAACATCCCAATTAAAAATGGGCAGAAGACATGAACAGACATTTCACCAAAGAAGACATACAGATGGCCAAAGAGACACATGAAAAGATGCTCAACATCACTCATCACCAGGGAAATACAATCAAACCTACAATGAGGTATCACCTCACACCTGTCAGAATGGCTAAAATCTCAAAACACAATAAACTGATGTTGGCAAGGACGTGGAGAAAAAGGAGCCCTCATGCACTGCTGGTGAGAAACTATGGAAAACAGTCCAGAGATTCCTCAAAAAATTAAAAATAGAATGACCGTATGATCCAGTAATTCCACTACTGGGTATCCACAAAGATGAAAACACTAATTCAAAGGGATGCATGCACCTCTATAGTTATTGCAGCGTTATTCACAATATCTATCGATAGAACGAAGAAGAGGTGTATATATACATATATATACACACACACAATGAAATATTACTCAGCCATAAAAAAGGGATGAAATCTTGCCATTTGCAATGACATGGATGGATCTAGAAGCGTATGATGCTAATAAGAGAAAGACAAATACTTTATGATTTCACCCATATGTGGAATTTAAGAAACAAAATGAACAAAACACAGGAGACAAAACCACACCCTCTTAACTCTAGAGAACAAACAGGTGGTTCCCGGGGGGGGGGGGTGACAGGTGGTGGATGAAGAGGACACTTATCAGGAGGAGCACTGAGTAACACACAGAAATGCCGAATCACTACATTGTACACCTGGAAGTAACAAGACACTGTATGTTAACTGTACTGGAATTTTCCAAATAAATTTAAAAAACTGAATTAAAAAAAAAATCTCAACTTTACATGGTCAGATTATATGAATACCTCCCATTTATGGTCTAGAATCAAAATGTCCAATAAAAAAGGGCACTTTTGTTCAAAATATCATTTAAAGGCAGATCTCTAAAGCTCCACAGCTTTGTAGACAGGACGAGGCTAAGTTAAACTCAGTTTTTGTGTTTCTGTCAAAGATTTCACGTCGAGCACTGCAGCAGGCAGGTTTGCTGTGGATAAAGCGCTTCTGGACCGGCCGACCCCTGGGGAGGCCTGACAAGCTGCTGAAAACCCAGTGTGTCTCCCCAGCAGTGACAGCACAGCAGCGGGCAAGATTGGCCTGCCTGAGAGAATGTTCTGTCAACTGGCTGTAATACACAATCAAAATGACCCGTCCCAGAAGAACCTGCTGTTACTCACACAGTCCCTTAGTCTTTAAAGACAGCTCACTCAAAACTGAAAACAGGTAAAAGAGAAATGGAATGGGTCAGAATAAAGTCAACCATAGAATGCCACCGGCCTCTGTAAGGTGAGGAAAGTGGGCTGGCCCCGGGGCCTCTGCTCATCTGCCTTGCCGGCTCTTCAGGGGAGCCTGCCTGAAGGAGGCGTCCACCAAAAGTAATCTCCCTAGTTAACTACAGTGTCACCCCCTTAGGAAAAAGAGGAAACCACAAAGAAACTATTCAGATGTGTAAAGCATTCAAATCTGCATTTTAAAACTTCCTCCTGATTAATATATACATCTTGAGGGGCACCTGGGTGGTTCAGTCAGTTCAACGCCCTGCTCTTTATTTCAGCTCAGATCGTGATCCCACAGAAATGGGATCGGGCCCCACATCAGGCTCCGTGCTGAGTATGGAACCTGCCAAAGATTCTCTCGGGGGCACCTGGGTGGCTCAGCCAGTTGAGCTTCCGACTTCAGCTCAGGTCATGATCTCACAGTTTACAGGTTTGAGCCCCATGTCGGGGGCGGGGGTGGGGGGGACGGGGAAGCTTGGAGCCTGGAGCCTGCTTTGAATTCTGTATCTCCCTCTCTCTCTGGCCCTCCTCTGCTTGTGCACTCTCTCTCTCTTTCTCTCAAAAATAAATAAACATATATTTTTTTTTAAAAAAAAGATTCTCTCTCAGGGCACTTGAGTGGCTCAGTCGGTTTAGTACCTGACTTCAGCTCAGGTCAAGAATTCTCGGTTCGTGAGTTTGAGCCCCACATCTGGCTCAGTGCCAACAGCTTGGAGCCTGGAGCCTGCTTCAGACGCTGTGTCTCCCTCTGTCTCTGCCCCTCCCCTGCTCAAGCTCCCTCTTTCTCTCTTTCTCTCTCAAAAGTCAACAAACATTTTTTTAAAAATTTAAACATTCTCTCTCTCTCCCCCTTTGCCCCTCTCCCCCACTCACACTCTCTCTCTAAAATAAAATACATATATACATCTCTTGATTTGTTCAAAACAAGTCACCTTCTAACCTCTTCCTGGATATTCAAGTCACTGTGATTAAATCGCAAGGTCCATGCTGCAGGGGTGGTGAAAGGGGTCATGCCCCTTCTAGTCTCCACAGAGATGCTTGCAGAACACAGGCCTTGACTACTGCTCTCCTCACTTTCCGGCTCATTGATGGAGGCCTCAGGACAGTGCCATGGGGCCCAGGGAGGAACGTGCTCTCAGACACCCGCTGGGCAGTCAGGGCCCTGAAGCCTTATTTATAGGTTCTCAGCTGGAGTCAGTGTGCTGAGCTCACTCAAGTCTGATCTTTGGATAAATGAGGGTTAATGGCACTGGCTCTTTCCCATTTTAACTCTACATTAGCCCATGAGAATTATTATGCATGTAAGAATATCAGTAAATAAGAGAGCAACCAACTATGTTAAACCCTGTGACTCAGTAGGTTTCCTCTAATTATACCGCCTCTGCTGCCCCAAGATTTTTTACTGGATGATTTCATAATTATCAATTCATTGCTCCTTTTAACCTGGCAGTCTGCAGAGCACTTTTTTCCTTTCAGAAAAATTAAATCTGAGGGAAAAAAAAAAATTCCAAAACACGCTGGAAGGTTTGATCACTAAGCACACACAAAATAAACGACGACTTAACTAAACGGTCAGATTTAACAGGGCTTTGCATAAGCCTCACAAGAAACGTGAGGCAGAAATTTTGAAACTTCCAGTTAGAAACCCTAAAACGCCTCAGCGCCACTCACAACACGACCGTCGCCGCTGCCGATGTCAACCAGGGGTCCTCTTCTGCAGTGAAGCATCTTCACGACGTTTTCGATCTGCTTTGTAGTTGCGGGTACGAACGGCAAACAAATTTTTCGGAGGGCCGGTGTTAGAAACGGGGTGGCCACGGCGTACATGGCCACCAGTGTCCCACCAACAACCCCAGTGAGTAAGAACCCCCAGCTGCGTTTCTTCACACCGTTGGCTCCAGGGCCGGGAGGCACACCCCATCCTGACGGACTTTCTTCAAGTACTTCCGGGGGCTTCCCTAAGGGAAACAAGCAGAAATACACACGTCACGCGCAATCTGAAATCCAAGGTAGTATTTTCCTTCTGATTCTTATTGACAGACTCATACTGTTTAAAGAAGGATAACTTGGCTGGATACAATCTAAATTACCATTGAAGGTTTCCACAATGAGTTCTATATCCTCTCAACTAAATTAACCTGTTTTAGAGAAAAGTATTCAAATCTAATGGAAAACTAAAATCTTTTCTTCCCAACATAATGATTCTTTCTTGAGTCATCCTTAGAAAACAATGTATTCATCCTTATTTGATATTTTATGGATTCAATATATCCATTAATACAGATGTTAACCATGAACTCTCTATTTTTCTGGTTTAGAACAAAGCCTCACAAATAAGCATTAAAATGTCCAATTACTGCCCTATTTTAAATAAGATGTGAGGATTCCACATCAAAACTGGTCAGGCATCCATAATCCAGGTGCACTAATACAATTTTGAAATAATGAGAGAGCAAAATCAGGTTTCACTAAAAAAATTAGTATGGTACCAAAAAGACTTTAAAGAAGACCCAAAAAGAACAAAAAATAAATTAAGTATTTCAATGCACCAGCATGAAATAAAGTAAACTCCAATCATTGAAAACAGAGAGATGAATGATCCTGAACCCTCATGAGTTTTACCCTTTAAAATACATTGTTGGGGGGGAGGCCTGGGTGGCTCAAGAGGTTACGCATCGGCTCAGGTCATGATCTCACGGTTCGTGGGTTCAAGCCCCGCGTCGGGCTCTGTGTTGACAGCTAGCTCGGAGCCTGGAGCCTGTTTTGGATTCTGTGTCTCCCTCTTTCTCTGACCCTCCCCTGCTCATGCTCTCTCTCTCTCTCAGAAATAAATAAAACATTAAAAAAAAAGCTTTAAAAAAAAATAAAACACTTTCTCACGGCGCCTGGGTGGTTCAGTCAGATAAGCATCCAACTCCTGATTTCAGCTCAGGTTGTGATCTCACAGCTCATGAGTGTGTCAGGTTCCGCACTGTGGTGCCTGCTTGGGATTCTCTCCCTCTTCCTTTCTCTCTGCCCCTCCTCCCATGTGTGCATACTCTCTCTCAAAGTAAGTAAATAAACTTAAAATAAATTAAATAAAATAAAATACATTCTTAGGAAGATCTCAAGTTCTGGGGACTGAAATGGATGATTTTAAAATCTAAGGAAGTGAGGACACATCAAGTAAGAACAGAACCCCAAGCTGAGGACCTGGGCTCTGTACCTTGCTAACAGTATGACCCTGCACCATTCTGGACCCCGGTTTGCTTATCTGTAACATGGGGACTAGAGTCGCCGTGCCGATGAAACTGGTGGACACACTCAGAACACTGCCCAGCACAACGGGATCAGTTGCTGTTATTATTTATCCGCGGCTGGCTACATGCTGAACCCTACAGGGAGCAAGACTGCCCTGAAGCAGCTCAGTTGGCAGAGAAGACAAGGCCAAAAACACAGGAATCCTAACAAACAAGACAGTAAGACGGGGGACAATGGATTCTAGTCACTAGAAGATGTTCATGTTCATGGCTGCAGGAATTAGTAAGCCCTTCAAAATGCCCACTGGATCCCATTCCCAAGGCTGCAGTCGGAAACCACCACCAACTTAGAGGGTTAAAACAACACACGCCTGTTGGTCATCTGGAGATCAGATGGCTGAAATGGGGTGGACACGCTGGGTTCCTTCTGGAGGCTGTACGGCGGGTACGCTTGCTTGCCTTCTCCAGCTTCTAGAGGCTGCCCACATTCCCGGGCCAGTGCCCCCACGTAACCCCAACCACCGCTTCCATCAGGACACCCCTTCCGACTCTCCTGCCTCCCCCCTTCATTTTTAAATCTATTTACTTATTTTCAGAGCGTGAGCTTGAGCAGAAGGGCAGGGGGAGAGGGAGAAAGCATCCCAAGCAGGCTCCGCTCTGTCAGCAGAGCCCAAGACGGAATTCAAACTCGCAACCATAAGACCACAACCTGAGCTGATATCAAGAGTCAGACACTCAACAGAATGAGCCACCCAGATGCCCCTCCCTTTTCTTTACAGGGACCCTGTGATGACAGTGGGCACATCCAGGCAAGCCAGCGGAATCGCCCATCTCAAAGCCATTAACTTCATCCCATCTGTAGATTCTCTCGTGTAACATATTCACCCATTCCAGGGATTAGGACACGGACCTATTTGGGGGATGTGCCTACCATACTCATATGTGGTGATCTGTTACAACTTTGTGAGGTACAAACGTGAACACAGGACACACGAAAAGCTGGCCCAGTGCAGTGAGTCACTGGTCCAGAGCAACTGACCAATCCCCAACATCAGGCACAGCAGAGCTTTGTTCTGGAAGCCTGAGGTCCCCTAAAGTGAGCTTTGTTTTGTTTTTATTTTAGAGGCAGAACACTCATATGTGCAAGCAGGGGAGAGGGGCAGAAGGGGGGCGGGAGAGGAGGAGGTGGGGAGGGGGAGAGTGAGAGAGAAAGCGCGAGCAAGACAGAGCGAGCATCTCAAACAGGCTCCAAACTTAGTGAGGAACCTGATCCAGGGCTCAATCCCCCTGCCATGGAATCATGAGCCAAAAGTGAGAGTTGGACTCTCCACCGACCGAGCCACCGAGGGGTTTCTAAACCGACTTTGAAAACTAGTTTCACACAGAAACCCTCTTGCACTGTTGGTGGGAATGCAAACTGGTATAGCTGCTCTGGAAAGCAGTGTGGCGGTGCCTCAAAAAATTAACAAGACAACTACCCTATGACCCAGCAACAGCACTGCTAGAAATTTACCTAACGGACACAGGAGTACTGATGCATAGGGGCACATGGACCCCAATGTGCACAGCAGTACTCTCAACAATGGCCAGATCATGCAGAGTCTAAATATCCATCGACTGATGAATGGATCAAGAAGATGTGGTTTATGTATACAATGGAACACTACTTGGCAATGAGAAAGAATGAACTCTGGCCATTTGCAGCAACATGGATGGAACTGGAAGGTACTATGCTAAGTGAAATAAGTCAGGCAGAGAAAGACAGATATGTTATCACTCATATGTGGCTATTGAGAAACTTAACAGAAGACCATGGGGAAAGGGAAGGGAGGAAAAATTACAGAGAGGAAGGGAGGCAAACCATGAGAGACTCTTAAATACTGAGAACAAACTGAGGATGGATGGGGGTGGGGGAGAGGGGAAAGTGGGTGATGCGCATGAAGGAGGGCACTTGCTGGGGTGACCACTGGGTGTTGTGCGGAAGCCAATTTGATAAAATATATTTATATGTATAATAAGTATTTCATATATAAATATTAAAATGTATTTATACAGAAGATATTTAAAACAATATATAATGTACAAAATGCGGTAATAAAATAAAATAGAATAAAACAAAACTAGTTTCACAGTGGAAAACCAACTCAGAAACAAGAACAAGAAAAGTCTCCCGCTGGTGCTGGAGGGAAGGTAAAAGTAAAGTTTAGGTAGGTGACGGTGTTTGATAGAAAGCAATAATTTCAAACACATTTTGTTACACATTTTGTTACACGTTTCAGCATCGTATGGAGGAATTTACACACTAGAGCAACAGTCATGCATTTGATTGTTTTTTAAAGAGACAAAGACCATCTGCCATGCCTCTGTAAAATTACCCTGTGGGCCTTCTAATTATACAGTACAGTGAGTGGTTACAAGGATTGGAGTCATAAGGTTCTGGATTCACAGAACTTAACTCGTGCGAAACATTCGAGAAGTTTTTGCCAAGCCTAAGATTCTTCCCCCCTAAAACTCAGAAATAATACCATCCTCACAGGGTTATTTGAAGAGTTAAAAGAAGGGGTGCCTGGGTGGCTTAGTCGGTTAAGCGTCCGACTTTCGCTTGGGTCATGATCTCACGGTTCGTAGGTTCGAGCCCCGCGTCGGGCTCTGTGCTGACTGCCAGCTCAGAGCCTGGAGCCTGTTTCAGTCTGTGACTCCCTCTCTCTCTGACCCTCCCCTGCTCATGCTTTCTCTCTCTCCTAGAAGTAAATAAAACATTAAAAAAATTTTTTTTGAAGAGTTAAAAGAAATACATATAGGGCACTTAGTGCTCTAAATGAGACAGTAAGTAACGAGTGTTCGCTGCTATTGTTAGTCTCAATACTACCCGTGGGAAGAGATCCTCAATTTTTAACAGGCTTAACACATATGAATATGTAATTCATATACCATACAATGTGCCCACTTAACATATACAATCCTAAGGTTTTCAATCTATTCACAGATGGGTGTAACCATCAGCACAGTCAATTTTAAAACGTTCCCATTACCCCCAGAAGCTCTTAACCTTTACCTATCACCCCCACCTTCCCCTTCACACCTTAGCCCTAAGCAACCCCTAATTGACGCGGTCCCCAGACCCCCTACTCTGCACGTGATCTGCTAGGACTGGCCTCCTTCACTCGGGATAAGGCTCCCAGAATCGGTTCCTCAACACAGTTGATCCGTCACCGACACGGCTTTGAGCTGCACAAATCCACCTACACGTGGATTTTTTTTTTCTAGGCAGTAAATTTATTTTCTTTTATAATTCTAATAACACCTTTCCTCTAGCTTACTTTATTAGAAGAGCACAGCATCTAACATACAAACTAGGTTAATTGACCTCTGGCCCACAACAGGCTGTTAGTAAAACTGGACGGGGGAGGGGGTGTCAAAAGTCACGGGGGATTTGGACTGCACAGGCCTGACTGCAGCGGCACCCCCAACGGCCCCGTTGTTCAAAGGTCAGCTGTACTCTCGCTTCCTGTGGCCGCATCGAAGCCCCTAAAACAGGAGGTCATGACCAGCGTCCTCGGGAAAAGGCGGCAGAAGGCGTTTAGAAGACGGAGAATTAGCAAGATAGAATGGGCAGGAAAGGTCGCCAAGGCAGCGCAACGCTGCTTCGGGGCGGGGGGCCCTCGGCGCTGCGCAACCCTGCTTCTTACTAGCCGTCTAACGTTGGCCAAGTACTGGGCTAACGGTGCAAAAGGGGGACTTCTTTAACGAGCACTTAGAACTTGCTGGGAGCCCGGCACTGTTCTCCCCGAGTCCTTTCAGCTGTGCAAGGCAGATAACTACCGTTGTCTGCAAGCAAGGTAACTGAGGCACAGAGAGGTTAAGTTACCGCCCGCCGAGGCCCAGCGAGCAAGGGGCAACGCTGCTTCCCACCCACACAGCGGGACTCCGGTTCCCTCAGAAGACCGTGCCGCACACGGTGCGACTTATTCGCCGCAGGGCCCCGCGGGCCGTGCCCCGCACGCCGCGCTCCGAGCCAGGCCGGCGGCCGGCGGCTCCCACCCCCGCCCGGCCCGGCCCGGCCGGGAGCCCCACGTGGGGCCGCACCCGCCACCACGGCAGCCCGCAGCGCCCGCCGCCTCACCGCCTCCTCCCTCCATCGCGAGATTTCCCGCGGCCGGAGGCGGGGAGGGAGGGTGGAACTCCGGAAGTGGGTTATACCATCTCCTCAGAGCCGGGGGGGGGAGAGGAGGGAGAAACCAACGGCGTGAGGAAACGAGTTCCTCCTTGAGACCCACTGCCCAGGAACTCTCGGTCATAAACTTTAGCTGATGATCTCGATCTACGCTCGGCTGGAGGGTTTTAAGTTCCCGTCTGCGTCTTCGAGCCCCCTCTCCCCCCACAGTGCCGGGGATGATAGAAGTTTCCTAAGGCCCCTGATTCCAGAAGATACGGTGTGGCGTGACACTAGTCTCGCGTGAAAAATAAGTCTCGCGCGCCCGGACTGCGCACGCGCACACTGTTGAGCCCGCCTGGGAGCGGAAGGCGTGGCCTCGGTTCCGGAACGGGCTCCACCGGGCTGGGGAGAGTAACCGCTGCAGCCGCACCATGGCGTCGGTCGGGACCCTCGCCTTCGACGAATATGGGCGCCCTTTCCTCATCATCAAGGATCAGGATCGCAAGTCTCGTCTTATGGGACTTGAGGCCCTCAAGGTAACGGGGCGGACGCTGGCGGGGGGGGGATGAGGGGAGGCGGCCGAGGCCCGCGACTCTGCGCCTGCGCGATCCTGGGAGCGGGGCAGCCATGTGCTCCCCGGGGAAGGTCGGGGACCCTGTCTCGTCTCCGGCCCTGCACCCCGCTCCCCGCTCGGGAGAGGGCGACGTAGAAGCCTTTAATAAATCCCGATCTGGGGATTGGAGTGGGGCCGCTAGCGCCCTTCAGCGTTGGGCGGGGCGGCTTCAAGTCCTCGGCTCTGAGCCCGCGCCTCCGACCGCGTCTCCAGCCTCTGGTCGTTCGGACAGCGGCCGAGGGCCTTCTCAGGTCACCCGGCTCCGACAGAAGCACAGCCCAGGATGATGTTCGTGTTTCTCTGGTCACTCCTTAAAGGCGTAGTGACTTCTAATTCCTTCGTACCTTGTGCGCGGCGCAGTACTGGATGTGCTGTCGTGAAAGTTAAAAGCGTGTGCGTTTAACGAGAAAGTAACCACCGCCACAAAGAGTGGAAAATGGACACCGAGACCCCGACACAAGGCAGCGTGTGAACGGACTCACCAGTTAGGGAGGCAGATCAAAGTTGGAGGGTGTCCTGGAGACGTTTAGTGGTGACCGGCTTTTGATCCGGGGTGGCGGCCCTGCTCGCAAGGCGAGGGCGCGCCGGCGTCTGGGGGAGAGCTGGGCGGGAGAACGCGGGGCACGTCGCGGGGAGAGCCGTCTGGTTTAAGTTAGAATGTCCCACAGTGGAGCTGTTACCCCGGAAGGAGGGGCCCGTTAGGGGGTTTGGGCAGAACCACAGTTTTAGCAGAATGTACTTCAGGAAGGAAGTAGGGGCTGAGAAAGACCAGGGGAGGTAAACCCCGCAGTCCAGGTGACAGTCACCTGAGCTCGGGCCTGTTTAAACAGACGAAGAAAGAGGCGTCTGGGTGGCTCAGTCGGTTAAGCATCCGACTTCGGCTCAGATCATGATCTCACGGTTCGTGGGTTCAAGCCCCACATCGGGCTCTGTGCTGACAGCTCAGAGCCTGGAGCCTGTTTCAGATTCTGTGTCTCCCTCTCTCTCTGCCCCTCTCCTGCTCACAGTCTGTCTCTGTCTCTCTCTCTCTCTCTTTCTCTCTCAGAAATAGGACATTTTAAAAAATAAACAGACGAAGAAAGCAGAAGGTCGTTTCGCTGTTCACCCTCAGGCTGCACAGCCTCTCTGAACCCCCCCCCCCCAGGGGGGAGCACCTCTGTGGAGCGGAGAGGGCGGATTGAAGGGGGTGATTGTGGCAGATACTTGACGGCTTGTATTACTCCACTTCGTTGTTGTTGTTTTAATTTCCATTTATTTTAGAGCGAGAGAGAGAGAATCCCAAGCAGTCTCCGAGCTGTCAGCACAGAGCCGGATGTGAGGCTTGAACTCATGAACCTGAGTGAGACCATGACCTGAGCCGAAAGCACGAGTCAGGTGCTTAGCTGACCGAGCCCCCAGGCGCCCCTTATTGTTCCTTTAAAGGAGCCAGTGGAGAACGTAGTGCCCAGTGCCTTGTGTGTGCCGGCGTCGCAGGTCCTGCGGGTGCTGTGCGGCAGCTGTGATGTCAGCTGCTTGGCGGGCCCTTGCTCTGCAGCTCGCCGTCCTCACGCTCTGGGACAGGTGTAGTGTTAGCAGGCCTGGACGCGGCCCCAGGGTGGCAGTGGTGCCCGCTCATTGGGAAGGGGGCCGTGACTCGAGCCCCCCTCTGGCTGACGCCAAAGCCAGAGTTCTCATCCTTGGCGTTGTTCGTTTTCGGGGCCACATCCTTTCTGTTGTGGGGGCCTCTGCCCAGGCCCCTACCCGCTCCGTGCCATTGGCAGCCCCCGCCCATTTGTCAGAACTGGAGATGTGTGCAGGCGTCGCCTCGTCTCCTGAGGGACAGAATCCTCCCTGGTTAAGACCTCTCACCTGTGGTCATCGTCCTCTGTGACACGAATCAGGCAGAGTGTGTTTTAATAGCTGCCAGTGTCCTCACAGCTCTGTGAACTCGTGTCCTGCCTCAGCCCCCAGCTGGAGTGACGGGGGGGGGGGGGGGGGGGGGGGGGGGGGGGGGTCTTCGCGGGCCGTGTGTGTTTGAACTGCCCTGAAAGGTGGTCAGGGTTTTGATGGCTGGAGGGTCTTCTGTGCTTTAGCACGTGAAGGATCGAGGACACGTGGGGAACACACATGGACCATCGTCGCCGGATGGGAACTGGGTCTCAGATTGTAGAGGGCGATGAAGAAAATCTGAAGCTTTCAGGGAGTCACTTAAGGTTTGGGGACTGGCAGGCGACACGTTGGAGGAAAACAGATGGGTTATCTGCCTGTCGGGTGGCTCTGAGGACAGGAGGCGAGATGAGGGGCCCTGGGTTTCTGTAGGGTGCTGGGGACCCGGGCTAGGCTGCTGACCGCATGACTAGGAACAAAGGAAAGAGCATCTTGCAGAAAAGATCGTGTGCAAGCAGGGAAGGATGCTTGCAAGTTGCCCTTCATTACTTTAGCTGTCGATGCTTCGGCAGACGACTAGGGGGACTTTCCATGTGCGGGCTGAGTGTTGACTCGGCGGTCAGTTGCTGGCTGTGTTTCCGCAGCAAACCCAGTGTGATAGTTGAAGGTGCTGTACGTTCACGTCCGGACCCCACGTGAGGTGAGCATCACACTGTGGCCTTCAAGACCTGTCCTGTCCCACGGTGCATGCTTTCAGGTGCGACATGGCGCGCATGGGAGAACCTGCCTTGTAGACGTGCTGGGAGTTACAGCACCAGGTGCTCGCTCTGTGCTGTGAGACTCACCTGCTCACGCTGGTCATTATCACACTAGATAATTAGACTTGTGTGTTGCCTCTTAAATGTGGAAGGTCCTGGAGAACAGAAACTGTGTTCAATTGTATGCTTCTAACTATTAAAACTTAGGGGGGCCCAGGTGGCTCAGTCGGTTGAGCGTCTGACTCTTGACTCTGGCTCAGGTCATGATCTCATAGTTCATGATTTCAAGCCTCATGTTGGGGCGGGGAGGGGCCTGCTTGGGATTCTCTCCCTCTCTCTCTGCTCTCTCCCTCCTGTGCTTGCTCGCTCTCAAAATAAATGAGTTTTTAAAAAAATTCAACTATTAAAATTACATGTAACTTGAGCCTTTTCTGTTTCTTTCATTTAGTCTCATATCATGGCAGCAAAGGCTGTAGCAAATACAATGAGAACATCACTTGGACCAAATGGTAAGAGACTACCGTTCCGTGTTAACACATGTTCATTCTGTGGTAACAGGTGTTACATGTAAATCGAGGATAGTTGATGTAACACCCCTTTATAGAAAGTTGGGACGTGGCACAGGGGGCATCCTAGGCCTCTGGCACTGACAGAGTTTTGTGTATTTCAGGCTTTAGACATGTTTATAAGCACATACAATTTTAGGTCAGAGGCTTTTTTCCATCTTTTAATACCATTTCGTTAGCATTTTCTAAATCAGAGTTGTTATTTTTTGTAATTAACACTAAATTTATTGATGCTTCTTTTTTTCCCCCCCACTTCTCTGGTTTTAGCTCCTTAGATGACTTTGTAGTCACCAGTCTAAAAATGTCTGCATGCACATACTCTCTTACATATGTTGAATTTTTGTAATAAATTCTGTAAACAGGCACTGGGTCAAGAAATCTAGCCTTTTTTTTTTTTTTTTTTTTTTAACAGTTTTTGGTGTTATATTTGTGTTTGGTTTTGTGGTTTTTTGGTTTTGCTTAATTCCATTTTAAACGTTGCTGTCTTTCTAGGACTTGATAAAATGATGGTGGACAAAGATGGCGACGTGACGGTGACTAACGATGGTGCTACCATTTTAAGCATGATGGACGTCGATCACCAGATTGCCAAGCTGATGGTCGAACTGTCCAAATCCCAGGACGATGAAATCGGAGATGGGACCACCGGAGTCGTTGGTGAGAAAGCGTTATCCTCTCTGGTTTGAGAGGCATTCCTTAAAATCACACACACCTGCCGAGAGTGTTTGCTCTGAGTCAGATCGTGAGGAGACGGTCGCACAAATCCAAGTTGAAGGACGTGCCAAAATACAAGAGGCCCAGACTCTTCAGAAATCCTTATCCTGGAAGAATAGGATTGTTCTTCAGGGGAGAGTTAGGCAACTATTCTAGATCAAGGGAGCCAATGAGAAATGACAGCAGCTGTAATCTAGCGTACTTGATTGGATGTGGGCTTTTTAATATTTTTTTAACTGGGGGAAGGGGGGGTACAAGGGAGGATTTGCAGGTAGTGTGTTGCGGAGTAGTGCCCTGTTAAGTTTCCTGAGCGTGACAGTGATGCAGGAGAATGTCCTTGTACAAGCTCAGCTTGCAGCTAAGACGCGTCATGATTTCTGCACGTCTCACGTAGTTGATTGTGTGTTTGCAGAGAAAACGTGGCAAAATGGTGTTAATAAATAAGTAAACTGTTCGTTTTACCATTTTTAAACTTCTTTGGAGTTCTGAAATACTTCAAGAGTTGGGGAAGATGGACTAGAGAAATAGCTTTAATGTTACCTTTTCTGCAGATGAGGTTTGGATTCTTTTATTGAGCAAAATTGGCTGGGTACCAAGTGCTATGTGGGTGTGCCCGGAGGACAGCAGTGTTAAAACCAAAGTCATCATCTTGGGGCCCCAAGATCATGGGAGGAGGGAAGGCAGTGGGGAGGATAGATCATAGGCACATTCTCTTGTCACCAGAGTAAATTTTACCGACTAGAAAACCCCGGCCCAGCAGAGGCCTCTGGCTGGCTCAGTTGGTAGAATGTGAAGTTCTTGTTTGGGTGTAGAGATTACTTAAAAATTTAAAAATCTTAAAAAGAAATCCCTGGCTCAGGAAACACGAGAGACTTTTGCCCTTATAAAAACATCTTTAGCTTATGTTCTTCAGTTACGTTCTGTCTCACTGAGAACTGAACGTTGGGTTATCAGGAGCAACCCGTTAGAGCTTTGCTAAAAGTAAAACCAGAGTCTCCCTTTTCAGAAATACTTGAGCCTCCTTGATACTTTTTTTTTTTTTTTTCCAAAAATTTTATTTCAGTTTTATTTTTGAGAGAGAAAGAGAGCAGGCAGACAGAGGATCTGAAGCAGGCTCCATGCTGACAGCAGCAAGCCTGATGTGGGGCTCGAACTCACGAACCATGAGATCATGACCCGAGCAGAAGTCAGACATTTAACCCACTGAGCCACCCAGGCGCCCCGCCTCCTTGATACTTTTGCCTTAATTCTGGAACCTCCATATTTCCAGGGTAGCATCTAATTGGTGTCAGTGGTATAAGTGTCGTGCTTTCCTGACGTGGCTGTGCGCTGTCTTGTCTGCAGTCCTGGCCGGCGCCCTGCTGGAGGAGGCGGAGCAGCTGCTGGACCGCGGCATTCACCCCATCCGGATCGCTGACGGCTACGAGCAGGCTGCCCGCATCGCTATCGAGCACCTGGACAAGATCAGCGATAGTGTCCTCGTTGACATGAAGGACACAGAGCCCCTGATTCAGACAGCAAAGACCACGCTGGGCTCCAAAGTGTACGTTTACCGTGCTGCGCCGCGGTTAGCGCTCGTAGAGGAAGCAAAACGTGTGCTCACTGCTCAGGCCACCTGTTAGGACCATCACTGGTAGCTTCATAGTGACTTGATGAACTTCCTTCCACTTTTGATGCTATTTGGGTTTGCTTTGTCTTTAATGCAGGTGTAGCCACGTGCATCTTGTGTTTTACTTGGAAACTGAAGTTCCAGGCTTGGTATTAAATTCTCTTGGTAATTGTGAGAGCTCCCTGTCTTTAATTTAGCCGGACAGGTCGTGTTAGAAAGCAAGCAGAAATGATCCTACTTGGTCAATGTTGTTTTCAAAACACTTCTACCGTTTCTTTGCTAGGAAGCCCTTTAGGAGGAGGGGCTCCACTTTTCATTTGTTCACCAAGCAAGTAACTGGTCCAGAATCTTAATTTAGTGAGAAGGGGCAGTCTTGAAAGTGACTTACATTGGGTGTTATCCACGTTTGCATAATGCCTGCTATTGACCAGGCCTGCTGCCACATCTTGGGCACAGAGACACAGTTCCTGTCCTCTGGATACCCAAAGCAGCCTCAGCCAAAGGACACACTTATTTGAACAGTAACGGACACTTAAGGGCTCTTAACGTGATGTGGCATAAAGATCTAGCCTGAGGAGCTATATTACACTGGTTGTTTTGTATCAAGATCAGGGTAAGAAACATTTTAATCTTTGTGTGTGTGATAGTTTTAGCAAAAAGGAAGACCTGGCCTTGACTCAGGTCAGGGGAAGTGCAACCGAACTGTTGCTCTCTCCACCCCCAGGGAAAAGCCTCTGCTACTGTGCCAGAATGTGCTGGGTGCCAGCTGCCCTCTTGTTCAAATGCAGAGACCAACTTCTGGGCAGGGGGCCTGCCCAGGAAGGTGTCTGTCACAGGTGGCACGCTATTGTCCTCCTGAGAGGAAGGTGTCTTAGTTGAAAATGCACAAATCTTATCGTTGCTTTGTACGTTGACCTTGCTTAGTTTGCACGTCTTTGTAAAATTCTTGTACAGGTTGGTCTTTACTACGGAAAATGTTCAAAACAACTGACTGGTCAAACATAGCGTAAAGTAAAATGTGATGAATTGCTTAGAATACTAACAATATTTGTAGTTTCCCCGTTATCTTCTTTCTAAAATCAGTTAAGATTTCATGCGTTGTGTTTCAAGTATTAAGTTTCCCTTGCAGGTTTTCCAGAACCAAAAGCAAATTTATTGAGCAATTTATTCAGGTGTTTCAGAGCTTTTTTTTTTTTTTTTTTTTTTTTTTTTTTTTTTTTTTTTTTTTTTTTTTTTTTTTTTTTTTTTTTTTTTTTTATTTGAAAAGCTTTTTATTTTTTTTTTTTATTTATTTTTTTTTTACAATCAGAGCTTTTGAAAAAAAGATTCCCAACCCTCGTCCCCATCTGTAACTGATGTTGGTGGGAGTTCCTGCAAAGGAAGCAGCCATGTTGAGTCCTCCGGCTTCTTAGCGCTGTGCCCCATTTAGACAAGATGGTATTTCCTCCCATCCCAGCGTATGGTTCCCTCTGAGGTCCGCAGAACCCAGGTGCAGAACCCCCGCCCCAGACCATCCGAAGTGCAGGCTCCGGTGGCATTGCTGTCTAGAGAGTCTGAACCTTCTTTGTTTTATTAGATGTATGTGCGTTGCCATGTTACTTACGTGGCCTGCTGTGGTTACAGTGGTTGTGAGTGCAGTGACAGGTGAAGGGTCCTCTCTGTTTTCCCCAGGGTTAACAGCTGTCACCGGCAGATGGCGGAGATCGCCGTGAACGCGGTCCTCACCGTAGCAGACATGCAGCGGCGAGACGTCGACTTTGAGCTCATCAAAGTGGAAGGCAAAGTGGGCGGGAGGCTGGAGGACACAAAACTTATAAAGGGCGTGATTGTGGACAAGGATTTCAGCCACCCACAGATGCCAAAAGTGAGTCCGTGTCCTTCACAGCTTCACACCCTTTCCACTCTTAAGTCCACGAGTTGAAAGAGTCTCTCTGTCCCCGCAGCTAGTGGAAAACGCCAAGATTGCAATCCTCACGTGTCCGTTTGAACCACCAAAACCAAAGACCAAGCATAAGCTGGACGTGACGTCTGTAGAAGATTATAAGGCCCTTCAGAAATACGAAAAAGAGAAGTTTGAAGAGATGATTCAGCAAGTGAGTCTTCCCACGGCTTGTCGTGAAGTAGATGTGTAGGTAGTAACGTGGCGCTCATCTCTGTCTTCATATTTTAGAGTGTGGCTAGAGGTGACGTGTCAGTGGAACGAGCCACCTTTTTTTCACTTATGAATTATAAAAGTAATAAGCATTCATGATGAGAAGAAAGCTTTAAGGGAAGGAACCTGATTTTGTCTTAAAACGGTGACACGTCTGGAGCGCCTCAGAATTGGCGCGGTTACCTTCGCGCTGTGCTTGTGATCTTAGTCATCTAAGCTTCTACGTTCCAGGTGTAAACACCTACCTCTTCTCCGGAGGCTGGTACGGCCGTGTGCGTGTGTGCCCTGACAGTGGGTCCTCTTTGGGACTCTGTCCTTCAGAATGTACAGCATCCGCACACAGCGATACACGAGCGTGGGTGTCAATTGAAACCTTACTTACGACAGACAGACGAGAAACCACCTGGGTGTCTCTCAGGGCAGTGTTGGGTTCATTTACTCCTGTGTGATGGGTGCTCTGCCTGCCACCCAGCAGGCACTGCCGTAGGGACCTGAGACGGAGCAGCAAACGGCATAGAGCTCTTGCGGCACAGAGCGCGGGGCCGGGGGGCAGGGGCCGTGTTAAGCGCAGTGGTCAGAGCGGGCCCCTCTCGGGCGCTGGTGGCGTGTGGCCAGAGACCCAGGTGTGGGCGAGGAGCACTCGGGGCTGAGGTGAGCAGGGGCCTTGAGGCAGGAGCGTGGCTGGCGTGTGCGGGAACCGCAGGGCTGACGGGTTGGGCGACAAGATGGCAGAGCCCAGGAGGCCAGTGGGTGGGTAGGTGTGTTGGTGGCTGTGCAGGCGGCCGGGAACGGTGGGAACGGGATGGGCCACGTGCTAACGTTTCAAAGAACAAGAATGGCGCAAAGAGGAACGTCGTAGGTGCTTGTGAGGAGCAAGAGGGACCCTCCTGTTCTGAGCACAAGGGACGGAAAACGGCCACGTGAGGGGAAATGCTGAGGCAGGTTGGTTCTCAGGGGACCCCGGGGTTTGTTCCCAGCGAGAATGTGGCGGAAGCGGTGCAGGATCAAGTTGGCCGCTGACGCACTGAGGGTCTCGGAAGGAGGAGAGGCAGCGAGCGGGCGTGGGTGACTCAGGAGGCCTGGCTGCAGGCCACTGAGACCGTGGGCGCGGGGCTGGCGCAGCTCCCACAGGCGATGGCCGCGGGCAGACGGTCCAGCCCTTGCCATCCCGGGACCAGAGGCTTACCGTTCACAGGGGTGGGAGCGGGAGCGGGAGCACGTGTGGCGGCCCCGAGGGCGGGCGGTGCCTCCCCTGAGGGCGCTGCAGTCAGGTGAGCAAAGCTGCTTGAGGGAAACGCGTATTGGCTGTGCTCCTGTTCAGCACGAAGGTGCGTGGAGCTGCCTTACAGGCGTTTGTGACGGGACCCAGCTGTTCGCCTGGCTCCGGGCTGAGCCCTGTCCACCTGTCTGTTTCATTTCACTGCAACAGCGAGGTTCGGTGTGAATTAGTGGGTTATTTTTTTAAATTTATTTATTTTGAGAGTGAACGTGAACAGAGAAAGGGAGGGAGCCAGGGGAGAGAATCCCAAGCATCATCTGAGCTGTCAGCACAGCCCAACACCATGGGGCTCGATCTCACAAACCATGAGAGCATGACCTGAGCTGAAATAGAGTCTGATGCTTACATGACTGAACCACCCAGGAGCCCCCGAATTACTGATTCTTAAAGCACATTGAAAACTGAAGGGATTCTCTCTTTGGAATTTGGGCCTGACAGAAGGTGGACACTTCTGTGCTTCCTTCCTTCTCTTTTCTCTGCTTTATTTCAGTGCTCTCACCTTGCACACGCCCCCGTGCGCCTCATCTTCTTTCTGACCACAAGGAACACTCAATGTGACCGGCATTTTTTTCCCCGCAGATAAAAGAAACGGGCGCTAACTTAGCCATCTGCCAGTGGGGCTTCGACGACGAAGCCAATCATTTACTTCTTCAGAATAACTTGCCTGCAGTTCGTTGGGTCGGAGGACCAGAAATAGAGGTAGGGGGCTCCGCAAGAAGAGACTTCCGAACGTGGGCTTGAGCTTGACGCCTGTGGGGGCAGGGGTTGCCACTGTGGTAGCGGTTCCCTTAAATACTCGCAGCGCACCAGGCGCCACAGACGGAGGCCGGGGAGGGGACGGTGCTAGGCCTCCCTTTCTGCAGCAGTGCTGCGTGTTTCCGGTGTTCTGTGGGAATCAAAGTGCCGTCCGTGTGCCCTCCCACTTGGCTCTCGTGTGTCCCACACGCTGACCTCCGTCCCACACGTGGTCCGTGCCCCGGGCAGGCACAGCCTCCGGTCTTTGCTGCAGCAAGGGTGCAGGGGGGCGCGCGGAGCGTAACCTGGTCGGGAGAGGTGACCCAGAGGGTGGTGGCGTCACACGGAGACGCCAACTCTTCAGAAACACGCTCATTTCGTATGCCTTCTTGGGTTGACCTTGTAATCTAGGGGCTAGGGTGCGTTGCACTTGGGTGCGCGAGTTAGCCCCGGGTGGATTTGGCTTACCTGTGGCCTGGTGTTGAGCGCCCAGTGCTCCCAGCACCTTCCTGCCCCTGACACTACCCCCCACCCCCACCCCAGCTGATCGCCATCGCGACGGGAGGGCGGATCGTGCCTCGGTTCTCGGAGCTCACCGCTGAGAAGCTGGGCTTCGCTGGGCTTGTGAAGGAGATCTCCTTCGGGACGACTAAGGACAAGATGCTGGTCATCGAGCAGTGTAAGAACTCCAGGGCTGTGACCATTTTCATCAGAGGAGGAAACAAGATGGTGAGAATCCATTACTCATGCTGCACAGTTTTCTGTTTTTGGCGTATGGTTTGATTTTGCCCCTTCTGTGTGTGGCTGTGATGTAGTCGCTGTTTTTCAAAATATCATTTTTCTCAAAGAAACCGTGACTTACCGTGGTCACTGAGGGGCACAGCTGTTTATGCTATGAGGCGCACGGGCCTTTCTTGCGTCGCGGGGTGACAGTAGGGCACCCAGGTGAATGGCGCTCGCTGGTAATCTCCCTCCTGCGAGAGCGGGACTGTTGCATCAGGGTCAGTTAGACGCACCCGGAGGTTTCTCCTGGTCACTATTGGATTGTGTGACTGCTTCCCATGGTCGCATGTCCCAGAATGCGTCACTGGCTGCCTCCTCTGTCTGGTGTTCTCGTCACCACATGACAGAGGGAGGGGGAGAACAGCAGAACTCACCCTGGAATGGACATCCTGCCTGGGCTCTCCGTTTGTTCTCAACCAAAATGGCTCCGGCAGGGAGTTGGGAGTAGCTCTCGTACCCGGCGCACACCGAGGGTACATCTGCACCGGGTCCCGGACACGGGGCTGTGGTGACGTGGACTGTCTTCCCTAGATCATCGAGGAGGCCAAGCGCTCCCTTCATGATGCTCTGTGCGTCATCCGGAACCTCATCCGGGATAATCGTGTCGTGTATGGCGGTGGCGCTGCTGAAATCGCCTGTGCTTTGGCGGTCAGCCAGGAGGCGGACAAGGTAAGTCCCGCACGGGGCCTCTCAGACCATGCAGAGGGCGGTGGGGCTATGGGCAAACTGAGGGACCTGCACCCCAGGAAACAAAGTGTCACCGCGTTGGGTAACCAGTGTCTGGTCTGCTGATCATCGCCCACATGTTGAGGCGCAGGCTGCCAAAAACTGGTGTTGGTCAGCTTTTTTCAACCTTTCCAGCTTTGAAATAACAACTCTAGTCTTCAGTGTTCTTGTTTGAGGTTCAAAGTTGATTGAATGTCTTAACTGTCATAACTAAAAGTAGTCAGAGCTCATTTGTTTCTGGACTTCTGTCCCGTGTCTACCTTTTCCATCCTTCCTCTGTCGTGACATTTTAACTTTCTGGTAGTTTAAAAATAATCACGATGGTCTATTCTTAGAATTCTTTGTGAGTTAGGTTTTCAACGGATGTGATTTACTTAAAACCTTTCCAAATTGCCGGCTTGTCGTGATTTTTGCTGATGCGTGCGCTTGCCTGTTCCCCACCAGTGCCCGACCTTGGAGCAGTACGCCATGCGGGCGTTCGCCGATGCGCTGGAGGTCATCCCCATGGCCCTTGCTGAAAACAGCGGCATGAATCCCATCCAGACCATGACCGAAGTGCGTGCCAGACAAGTGAAGGAGGCAAACCCCGCGCTCGGGATCGACTGTTTGCACAAGGGAACAAACGGTGAGGAGCCGTCACAACCCGCGGGGCTGTGTCGGGGTCCAGCTGGGCGATTTCCTGCTGGCCCCGCGGTGCGCGCTGCCTCCCGCGAGCCTCCACGCGGCAGGGCTTCGGGCGCCAAGACTTGCGTGTGTGGTGCGATTGCCCGAGGGGCTGGGGAGGCTGCGGGCCCTGCGGCGCGGCGCCCACCCTAGTGACAGGGACCTCTGTGTCCTACCAGAGGGGACTCCGTTTCGGTCTCTGGTTTGTGAAAGCCCTCTTTCTCTTGCATTTTAACACAAGCGTCTGTCAGGTGGGTTCCCGGTGTCCTGGGAGGCAGCCCTGCAGTTGGGTGACTTTGTGCCGCCCACTTATTCTGTGCCCTTATCCAGGAATGAGAGCGTGTTTTCAGGTGTCCCGTGCTGGGACTGTGGCCATCTGTGTAGTTTAGAGGCTGATTTTGCTTAAGTTTAAGTGATTCCTTACTAGTGGGGCCAGGCCCACACTTGTTATATTTTTTTTTAATGTTTGTTTTTGACTGGAGGTGGGGTGGGGGGGGAGAGAGAGAGCACAAGCAGGAGAGGGGCAGAGAGAGAGAGGAGCACAAAATCCAAAGCAGGCTCCAGGCTCTGAGCTGTGAGCACAGAGCCCCCACAGGGGGTTCGAGTTGGAACCGCAAGATCATGACCTGAGCCAGTGGAGGTCAGACACTTAACGGACTGAGCCCCCTGGGCGCCCCCGGGTCTGCACTGTCGCAGCGGCTCCCAGCCACGGAATCAGATGTTCTGTGCTTCTCCTTAGAACAGCAGCTGCGTCCTGGTTTTCATGCTCACAGCCTGCAGAGTTCAGTAACAGCCGCAACTCTTTGTCAGATATACATTCAAATTTTCTTTAACTTGAGTGCCTGGTTCTGCTGAAGTTTATGACGTTTAGGCCTTTCTTGGAATTATTTTATGTTTCACACACAGTCTGATTTTTTTACTTAACGTTGGGCTTTGTAAATTATGTTAGTATTTTGTGGGATGAAATGGCACTGAAAGGTTTAGCCAGTCACCTAGCACTTCAGCTTGTCACTGAAGAGAGGTCCCTCCACCCCCAGCTTTCTGGCCCCCAGGTTCAAATTGCCAAGTGTCCTCTGGAGTGATGGAACCTTAACTCCTCTGAAAACATAAGGGGGAGCGAGTGGTTTCCTCCAGATTTGGGTTTTGTTTTGTGTTTTATAAATGTCTTTGTTTGTTGCTGTTGTTTTGGGGGTTTTTTTTGTTTGTTCATTTTGAGAGAGAACATACACACAAGCAGGGGAGAGGAAGAGAGAGAGGAGAGAGAGAATCCCAAGCAGGCTCCGTGGTGTCGGTGCAGAACCACACACGGGACTCAAATTCGCAAATCTTGAGATCATGACCTGAACTGGAACCCAGAGACCCTTACCTGCCTGAGCCACCCAGGCACCCCCAGATTGCATTTTTTAAGTTTCACTGTGATTGTGTAAATGAGAGTAAGTTATTAACATTAAATACATATGTTTCAGGATAATCCACTTATTTGTGTTTTCCAGATATGAAGCAGCAGCACGTCATAGAAACTTTGATCGGTAAAAAGCAGCAGATCTCTCTTGCGACACAAATGGTTAGAATGATTCTGAAGATCGATGACATCCGGAAGCCGGGAGAGTCTGAAGAATAAAGAAAAAGCGGAGAGAGAGTCTGAAGAATAAAGAAAAAGCGGAGAGTAAATGTAGCAGTAGAGCCACTGTTGTGATTAAATAAAGGGCGTCTTGTGATGCGTCTGCAGTTATTTATTACTGTCTCTTCCAGACACTGTAGACGCTGCAATAAAAAGTGCTGTTTGGTAACCGCGGGTCTCCTGTTGACATGTTCAGTTACGGGAATGCGGCCTCGTGAGCTCTGGATCCGTTCTGTTAAACCGTCTCTGACAGCGCTGGTGAAGAGCCCAGCCCCGCTGTGCCGACCGAGTGCTGCTGCTGCCCCAGGGAAGGCGGTTGAGTAGGTCTGTTTTGTTTTGTTTTTTTTAATAGATCCTTGTATCAGCTTAAAGGTGGACTTCGGGCTCCAGCTTTATAAGACCGGGCTTGGTCCTGTGAGATGGGTTTCAGTGCTGGGCGGGTCCTTCGATGGTGGAGGCCCGTCGTGAGGGGTGTGGGGAAGCGTGAGGTCGGGGGTGTCGTGCGTGCTTCGAGCTGCCCGCTGCGGGGCCTGCGCCCTGTGCACCATTTACTTGTGTGCGTGGTTCTCTTGGTTCCTTTTCTCTGGCCTGTCGTGAGGTCAAGCTCACTCGTGTGCCACCAGGGGAAGCCGGAGTCGGGAACGCGTCACTTGCCTCCTGTGCCCCAGGTGCCCATGGGCCCTGGCACAGGCCGCCTTTTCTCTGGCTGCACTGGTCGTTTGGCTCCATGTGCATCCTGCGGGCTTGGGAGCAAGCTCTCCTCCGCCTTCGTCTTTAGTAACTTCTGGAATAGACCATCAAGTTTTGAAAGCTTAAAACCTACTGAACACAACCTGGTGTGTATGTCCACACAACCTGGTGTGTATGTCCCTCTGAGGTGTACTGTGCATCAGCACCACTGTGACGCGTAGCGTGGTTCCGGGTGTGGTGTCCACGTACATCCGTAGTCCAGAGTCCGGTCGGACAGACACTCTGCACGGGGACTGACTGCGGCCTGCGGATGGCACAGGCTGGCCCGAAGGGCTCCGCGATTGCGCCGGGGGCCGCTGGACCGCCCTCCGTTGCCGAGTGGGCCTCCCGTTCCTGGCGTGAACAGGAAAGCCCGTAGGGATGGTTTTGCTCACTAGGGATCTCTCAAGGTGACAGGCGACCTTTCTAGTCACAAACCCCTTGTCACACTGTCTCCCCTCACACCCCCACTTTTTTTTAATAATGTAACATACTTGCACTGGAATGAGGATTAGGACACTGGGTATAAGAACGCCTTCTGTCAAGTAGGACCCAGAGCCTTATGTAACTGAGGTCGTGAAGTCTCAACCTGACGCTTTGGCGGGGTTTTCAGAGGTGCCTTCCCCCCCGCCCCCCTCCTCCGGGCCGGCTGTCCTCATCCCTCTGACAGCCGGACAGGGACCCAAGAGCCTTCTCGTGACGTGCAAGACCAGTGCCTTCGCTGGCCGCGCCCCCAAGGCCAGATGCCCACACTTGCTGGATTTATACGGTGTTTGATAAGTGGTCTGGTCTTCAGTGATAACAGCAACCACTCAAGCACAGATGCTTCCGGAAGGGCTGAGGCTGCTGTGTTACATGTGACGATTTCTTTATCCTGTTTCCTTTCCTGTGTGTCTTTGGCGAACCAGCTCCACTAAAGGATCAGGAGTTTGGGGGCACGGGCGGCGGGGGCAGGAGGGGCTACTACAGGGAGGATAATGGTCTGTAGGCATTCGAGGTGCTTCTCAGAGGCGAACCGCGCAGCAGAGGCCCATGTAAAGCACCAGAGGAGAGGTGGCTACTTAGAAAACGCATTCAAGGTCGGCAAAAGCAGGGAGGGGGCGACCGCGGTGGGGAAGGTGTGTGTGAGGCACTGCTCGGGTCCTCAGTGCTGTCGTAAACGTTTTGCTCCGACGCTGGCGGTCCTGTTACGTGTGGTCCCAGACGGGGGTCCTGGACCGTCCCAAGGGGCCGTGCGGGCAACAGTATTTTGATGCTCCACTTACTGGCGTCTCCCAGTGCGGACAGCAGTCACGGGCCACCACGCCAGAAGCAAGCCGCTCTCCCGGAGGCAGGGCCTTGGCGGAGCCCCAGCTCAGCCTGGAGCGCGCGGCTACGGCTCTGCGGCGGGAGCGTGTGTGACCAGCGAGGTCATGTCCGCTGCACTAGCCCTCACCCTGGAACACCGGTGTCACTTGGAAGCGTGATCTGTGAACTAGGTAGGAGTGGATGCGTGACAGACGTCTCAGAAATGATAGAGTGAGCCCACAACCTCCATAGAGAATGTTCTGGTCCCTGGCCCTGCTCCCAGCTCCCAGAGCAAAAATCCCATATGCAGCGGCCTCAGTGTTTCTTTCTCAGAAGTTCTGGACACTGGGAGCCCAAGATTAAGGGGGAGGGGCAGTTCTTGGGAAAGAGGTCCCTCCCTCACACGAAGAGGCACAGACAGCCCCTGCTCTGGCCGTGGCTTCGTGAAGCCGAGGCCCTCAGCCGGGCCCGGGTCCTGAACCGCTCCTGGCCCCGGGTAGGACTGTTCTCTGAGCCGGTGTCAGGCTCTCTCTGGTTCACGAGAAAACCTGATATTCCAGGTGACCCTGCTCCTCTTCCGGGACTCCGTGTCCTGGTCACTGTGTCCGCCCTCCCAGTTCTCCCCTAAGTGCTCTGGATTCGCTCCCCCCTCCACCTCCCTGCAGTGGTGAGGCCCACATCACTCCGTTTCTTGCCCCCCCTCTTGTCACAGAAAGAACTAAAGCCGTCAGTCACGTGGGACTCCGCAAGCCCAGCGATGGAAGAAAGGAGGGGGGTGCATGTGGACACTGGGAGCCAGGGACACCCTTGTCCCCGCTTCCAGAGTGGATGAGCCATGGGTCCCCCCACCCTCCACCTGACCCCTCCCCGGGGCCCCACCTAATGGCGCGCACCTCCGGCAGGGCCGGGGCCTGGGTGTGAGGGGACACGAGGCGACTGTTCTGGACCCGCAGACCCAGAGGGGCTGGTGGGAGTGGACCACCAGCTAGCCGCCACTTGCTTAGTTTGTGAAGTAAAACTCCCAGCGGCACAGAGAAACACCGAGTGCTGGACTGTCCCGGGGCAGGGCGGGGCGGGGGGGCTGCAGTGGAGACGGTAACCAGGTTACCGGAAAGTCGATGGGGCGCAGCCAGAAGGCAGTGCCTGTACTGGTGCAGACTGGCTCTGTCCCGATGGCTCCCGGCGGCCACACCGTCCTTGGCATGTGGCCAGGGCTGCTGAGCGGCTGAGCTCTTCGTGTGATTTCATATAAATCAATTAAAACACATAAAAACCGAAATGTGGCCCCATACGCCACCACCCTTCCAACTGAATGCATGAGCGATTCCTGACACAGCCCCAGGCCCTGGGCCCCAAAAATGCCCATGTTCTGGAAAATCACTTCCTTAGGAGACGGCCAGTCACTCTAATTCACGGTTCTTTATTAGCTTTTAGAAAAAGCCACACATTCAAAAAGTAAGTTTATTGGCTCGATACAATTAGGTCAACGAAACCCTATTTTAACCTCAGTATTTCTCATAGTCAGCAACGCATGAACATGAGACTCATCTACATTAAGACAGACAAATGCCCAACGAAGCCGGGCTTTGAATCCGAGTTTACAGTTCATATTCTTCATGAACACCCATCATTTTAAAGAACGTACTTAATTAAGAACAAAAAGTCCACACCTGAGCTGTCAGCTGGTCCATAAACAGCCCTAGGTTTTTACTAATAGAATATTACCCCACCATTTGAATTTTTCAGGCACTGACCGTGTTTTCTTTTCTTTTTTTTTTTTTTTTAGTGTATGTGTTAAAAATTATATCATGCATTTCCATTTCCTACTGCATTTATGTTTCAGATGGAATCAGAATTTCAGGATTCCTGGATTTATTTTATTTCCAATAAAAATTAAACGATCCAAGTATCCCAAAGCAAATTTCTGGATGCAAGCTATTTTGAGGAAGTTTACCCTCCGCCACTTCTAAACGTACTTATGCAACCACTCAATCAAATTCCTTCTTGCCTCGTCAACATAGGGCTTGTCCTCTGGTGAACAGTCTTCTCTCTTTCGATGCACGAAGCCATGGGTTTGCCCAGAGAATGTTTTAATTTGATATTCCACTTGGCAGTGTTTTTTCAACTTCTGGGTCAGCAAAGAGACCTGATAATGCCAAAAGATTTCATGACAGTGTGACTTTTAACAATCTGGTAATATTTTCCATTCTCCAAATCCTCTCCGAATGCTCATAAAAGAAATCTAACATCGGCGCTTTAGGTTCCGTAGCTATTATGAATTTGTTACTTTTAATTTGACAGTTAACACAGTCCTGAGCTCTGGCAAAGGAGAGCATTCAAAGCCATATAAAAATTCGATACAATATCAGTTGCTTGAAATTATATTAATATCTTTTGTGTATCATTTAATCTCTAACAAAATACTCAATATAGTCAAGTAGAGGTCTATTTTAAATTTATATTAATATAGCGTACTAGTTACGATTAACAATTTCTAAATGACTGCTTTTGAACCACAATTTTCTTCTGTTTTTTTCTTATCAACATACTGGGTTTAACATACCCATGTCTTTTTTTTTTTTTTTTCCTTTAAAGTAAACTCTATGGGGCACCCAGGTGGCTCAGTCAGTTAAGCGTCCAACCTCGGCTCAGGTCATGATCTCACGGTCCATGGGTTCGAGTCCCGCATCAGGTTCTGTGCTGACAGCTCAGAGCTTGGAGCCTGTTTCAGATTCTGTGTTTCCCTCTCTCTCTCTGACCCTCCCCCCACTGTGCTCTCTCTCTCTCTCTGTCTCAAAAATAAATAAAAAGCAAACAAAAAAAATTTTTTTAAATAAATGTTCTATTAAAAAAAAAAAAAACAACAACTCTATCCCCAGTGTGGGGCTTGAACTCAACCCTGAGATCGAGAGTCACATGCTCCACCGACAGAGCCACCCAGGTGCCCCAATGCACCCTTGTCTTTAAGGACACACCTTATCTTAACTCCTAGGTTCCACATGGGAGAATGGGGAGGCCCATCTTCGATGCCTAGTACCCAGGCGCCACCAAGAGCACATTCAGAGGATTACAATCCCTAAATCCCCAAAAAAACCCACCTTTCAAATTTTAATGTTAAAAAATAATTTGGAGGAACAAATGAAGCCTTTGGGACATTTTCCCCAAAAGGTCAAATCATGTTATTAGTATAGAGAGAAGGGACGCCTGGGTGGCTCAGTCGGTTAAGCATCAGCCTTGATTTCAGCTTGGGTCATGGTCTCAGGGTCGTGCGATTGAGCCCTGCGTTGGGCTCCGTGCCAAGTGTGAGCCTGCTTGGGAGTCTCTCTCCCCCCTCCCCTGAGCTCACTCGCTCTCTCTTTCCCTCAAAAAGTAAAAATAGAAACGACTGTGGGGTGTGCCCACTCCTATAGGAAAATAAGCAAAAAAGAAAGAAATGAGAAGAGGAAAGATACCAACTTACCTGCTCGAGAGGAATCACAGCATCATTCTCTGCAAAGATGAACAACGTGGGGTTCTTCAGACTGTGCACATCTTCACCGTCCTTGATGATGCCTGGGAAATGGGGACAGGAACACGGTGAGGATTTCCAGACACACGCCTCCGAAAACGATGCGGGAGTGGCTTGATGTTTTCAAAGTAAAATCTGTGCTTTGGGGGTTTTGTTTATTTTCTTTTTAGCAATTCCACACAAGGGGCCTGGCCTACAAAATTCGCCTCAAAGCCAGACATGATCTAGTCGGACTTTCCCGCTCTCCACCTCCTTCCCTAGGAGTCGGGCGGTAAATAAGGAAATTAGACCTTGTCTGCTGCTTAGCACACAAAGATGCAGGAGCAGCCTGGAAAATGTTCCCTCCTCGGGGGACGTGCCTTCATTTCCAAAGAAGTGACCACTCTCCAGTCTGCACCATCTGACCACCACGGTTCTAGAAGTTTCTCAGGGTCCACACAAACCCCATAGGGTTCCACAGGGTTATCTGTCCCTGAGGTCACTTCAGAATCTGCAAGAGCATTTGCTCAGAAGCCCGTCCTGCTGGGATGCAGACAACTGAGGGCAGGTCCACTCCTCCAAGAAAATAAGCAAACCTTGTGCCGTATGATAACCATAGCAGTAAAGGGAAGATTATTCTGACACTTGGTAAGGAGGTTGCATTCAAGGGGGACCGCCACACGGGGTCGCAGTGGGGGAGAGACATCCCTCCACCCAAGTACAAGGACAAGTGGGGATTCACGGCCAAGGAGCAGGGGGCGAGCAGAGGGGCAGAAAATTACGAAGAGGAAGCACTGGGGTAAGATGGGCTCTGGCTGGATGACAGGACAGGGTTCTTGCTGACAAGAGTGAGTGGGGGGAGAGGGACGTGGTCAGACAGCAACAGTACGGGACCCTCACTAAACTGCCCCAATGGGCCAATGTCAGAGCCTCCTCAGAAAGAAGACTCACAGCAGAGCCTGACTCGAGTTTGGTGCGGGACAGGGCCCTAGCCAGTCGGGAGAAAATATTGGAAATCTTTTGTTTCCACTTCCTGTGGGAGCCTCCCCTCACCTGGAACTCCCCGCTGGGAGGCATGAGCCACAAGAAAATGGCCACGCTATGGGGCGCCTGGGTGGCTTAGTCGGTTGAGCGTCCGACTTTCGCTCAGGTCATGATCTCACGGTTCGTGGGTTCGAGCCCCGCGTCGGGGTCTGTGCTGACTGCCAGCTCAGAGCCTGGAGCCTATTTCAGAGTCTGTGTCTCCCTCTCTCTCTGACCCTCCCCTGCTCACGCTTTCTCTCTCTCCTAGAAATAAATAAAAATATTTAAAAAAAAAAAAAAAAAAGAAAGAAAGAAAAGAAAGATGGCCACGCTCTGTTAAGGCCACGCTGAGTGGCCGCACAGCAGTTTGCGGCCCTGGAGTCCTGCCCGGAGCTCAGCTCCTGCAGTGTGCAACAGCGGCCAGGAGGGGGTGCTGGCGAGGCGTCCACACCAGGGCACTGACCGGCCTGGACCGTCACCCCCTGAACCCAGCGGCAGCTGACAACTGATTATTAACTTTGGTGCAGTTAGTATTTAAAGGTTTTTTTTTTCTTTCCCTCTTGCTAAAAGCAAAGATGCCACAGTGAGAAACCATTAATCCAAGTAAGAATCCTCTGTGTAACCGAACAATATGTTATCATGAAAGAAAGCCAAATCTCCTTCCGCGTCCTTCTCTTTCCTTTAACATGTTTATGGTCTGAATGCTTCTGTGCCATGAACTTAGAATGTTCTTAGTTCACTGCTATGACACCTGCGGTTGGCCTGGCTACAATGTTTATGCAGCTACTTACATTTTAGAGTCTCTTTTCCTTTTCTTTCCTTCCTTCTTTATATTGTGTGTGCCTGCGGGTGTGTACACGGTTGAAAATAACTGCCATCTTGGAAAAATATCTCCACAGATGTTCCTCATACAGAATATTGTCTGATATTCACCATTATTGCAGAAATAAATGTGACCCCCCTTCATCCTTGGTGAAGAAGTTGAGCCCTCGGGTTAGGGGACTTCCCCAGTGGCCGTGTTGGGACCCAGGGCTCCTCCATCCCAGGGACAGCCTCTGGCTACCGCATTACCCACCTCCACCTCCAGTCTCACAAATCCAAAGCCCATTTCCTTAAGATGGGCCATCTCTGCCCAGCTCGATCTGTGCTGCGCCCCAGACTGTTAGGCTGGGAAGAGGCTCCTGGCTGTCACTCAAACCACTGGTTTCCATGGTGTGAAATGCGCATGGCGGATTTACCGTAGACGGACACCCCTGCCCTGAATTCTGGGTATTTCATCATCACGTGATGGACAGCCACTCCGCCCCAGCAGAATCCCACGACGCCGATTTTCTGCGCATGACACTGCTGTTTCAGATACCTCAAGACAGCATCAACCTCTCTAGAACAGAAAGTTATTCAACAATCAACGGATAGGGCTCACTCGTCGGTGGAATCTAAAAAGCCCAACTCAGAGAAACAGAGAGTAGAGTGGGTACCGGGGGTGGGGCGTGGGGAAGCGGGGGAGACTGACCCAGGACACAGACTTCCAGTTAGAAGAGTGACAAGCCTGGGGGGGGAGAGAGGGGGGCTTGTGACGTGCAGCCCGGTGACCTCAGTAATGATGTGTCATATACCTGAAGGCTGCTAAAAGGGTAGACCTTAAATGTTCCCACAATGAAAAAGAAACGGCAACTAGGGGACAGTACAGGGTGTTAGCTAAGGCTATGGGGCAACCTTTGCGCGATATATAAATGTACTGAATGAACACACAGTACACCTTCAACTTACACAACATTATGTGTCAATTATATTTCAGTCAAGCCAGGCCGGGGGCTGGGGGGAAGGCAAAAGTAATCACACACACATACACACAATCAAGAGGTATTTTGTGAGCCCCCCGGGGAGCGCGCTGGACACCAAGTGCTGTACCAGCAGTAACAGGGATGCACCGTGCCTGGAGGCGCTCAGATTTCTTACATTCTTTTTCTTTTTCTTTTTTTTTATGTTTTATTTATTTCTGAGAGAGAGAGAGACTGTGAGCAGCGGAGGGTCAGATAGAGGGAGACACAGAATCTGAAGTAGCTCCAGGCTCTGAGCTGTTAGCACAGAGCCCGATGGGGCTCGAACCCACGAACTGTGAGATCATGACCTGAGCCGAAGTTGGATGCTCAACTGACTGAGCCACCCAGGCGCCCCTGCGATTTCTTACTTTTGGAGCTCTGTCCTCACCGCGTCCTGCCTGAGGGATGCACATCCCCCTCCTCAAGCATCTCCCCTCGGGTCTCCCTCCCCAGCCCAGCCTCCTCCAACCACCTGTCAGGACTGGAGACGGGCTCTCAGCAAACCACAAGTCAGACCAGCTCGCGTGCCAGCTGGAGGCGGAGTTCTGGCTTTTCCTCGGGACAAAGGCCAAGGGCCAGGAAGAATGGCTCCCAAGGCCTGATCCCAAGATCCACCCCCAGGGAGCACCCCAGCCGCTCTCCTCGGACAGGCAGCTCCCCAAACTCTGACTTGGCACATTCATTCACCCCCCAGCGAGCATCACGGTCCCCCCGACGCCTGGGTCTGGCAGAGCAGGAATTTGGGAAGCCACCAGGACTTTCAGCCAGGAGAGGGCAAGAATAGTGGCCCAGTCTTGCAAATGACTCATCTGCAAATTGGTTGTTTGGAACTCTGCACATTTTCAACTAGAAGCAAGACACCCAAATGGAGGTGGGGCTCTGCAAGGCAGGCCAGAAAGTCCTGTTTGATCAGATAAGGAAGAATTGCGGTTTACACGTTAGAAAAAGAAAGCCATTCTGTTGCGCTTCCTTCTTCCTTTCTCTTTTAATCATAGCATATCCTTGACCACATTTAAATACACGTATCATATACCTGCGTGCAAGTAGTTATTTTCATGTTAGCAATAATTAAGTAATTCTGCAAACTAAAATAGAAAAAGCAATGGTTTTTGACATATGGGCTTTAAGTTCTCCTCAAATGCTTTGATCTTAAGAATAACTGCTGTGGGGCACCTGGGTGGCTTGGTTGGTTAAGCGGCTGACTTCGGCTCAGGTCATGATCTCACGGCTTGTGAGTTCAAGCCCCGCATCAGGCTCTGTGCTGACAGCTCAGAGCCTGGAGCCTGCTTCAGATTCTGTGTCTCCCTCTCTCTCTGCCCTTTCTCAGCTCACGCTCTCTCTCTCTCTCTCTCAAAAATAAACAATGAAAAGAAAAGAATAACTGTCTTAATTAGAAGGGACAAGGAGAGGCCATTTCTTTTTTTTTTTTTTTTGTTTCTTGGAGAGAGAGAGAGACAGCGTGAGCAGGAGAGGGTCAGGGAGAGAGGGAGTCACAGACCGAAACAGGCTCCAGGCAGTCAGCACAGAGCCCGACGCGGGGCTCGAACCCATGAACCGCGAGATCATGACCTAAGCGAAAGTGGGACGCTTAACCGACTAAGCCACCCAGGCGCCCCAGGAGAGGCCATTTCTATAAAAGTACTGTAACTCGAGTGAACAGGTCTTTGCTTGTGTTGCTCGGTGTTCCCTATTTTTCTGGGAGCACCGAAGTTTAGCTTTAAATGAACCTCTTCTCGGGGCGCCTGGGTGGCTTAGTCGGTTAAGCGTCCGACTTTCGCTTAGGTCATGATCTCGCGGTTCGTGGGTTCGGGCCCCGCGTCGGGCTCTGTGCTGACTGCCAGCTCAGAGCCTGGAGCCTGTTTCAGTCTGTGACTCCCTCTCTCTCTGACCCTCCCCTGCTCACGCTGTCTCTCTCTCTCTCTCTCTCCTAGAAATAAATAAAAACATTTAAAAAAATTTTTTTTTAAATAAATAAATAAATAAATGAACCTCTTCTCCTCGCCCGTGCTTGATTCGTGTACCTTGGGGAAGTCTGCTCTAGGTTCCAGGAGTGAAGTGTGTGGGTCAGGCTGACCATCAGAGTATAGCAATCTTGTGGCCACAGTGATTGGTTCAAGGATGGACCTGTGACTGAATCATAACCATCACGGCAAAAGGAGAACTTTGCCAGGTTGCTGGACAATGGAAGGCCGGAGCTGCTGCAGCCATCTTACCACCCAGAGGCAAAAGCCTGAGAAGGAAGCCAGTACACAGGACATGCAGTGGAGACGCTGGAAAGGCACATCCTGGGGATACTTTCTACACTGTGAGGGTACCAACTCCTGCCTGAAGCCAGAAACGACCTCTTCTCAGTTCTATAAACCAATATACCCCATGACTGCATAAGCAGTAAGCATTCAAGATGGGTTTTCTGTTACTTGCAGACTAAAGGCACTTGACTAGATACAAGGATTTCAGTCTCCTTTCAAAGTCAGCATTTGTTTTATGTCTCATTTTTATTTAGAGGCACCTGGGTGGCTCAGTCGGTTAAGCATCCGACTTCAGCTCAGGTCATGATCTTGCAGTTTGTGAGCCTGAGCCCCACATTGAGCTCTGTGCTGACAGCTCGGAGCCTAGAGCCTGCTTTGGTTTCTGTCTCCCCCTTTCTCTCTGCCCCTCCCCCTCTCATGGGTGCTCACGTGTGCGCTCGCGTTCTCTCTCGCGCTCTCTCTCTCTCAAAATAAATAAACATTAAAAAAAATTTTTTTCAGTGCATAGCTCTACTTTTCCCCTGTGGAAGGGTCCCACTGGGCTGCTCCCACACCTGCCCCAAACGATCACTTGGCTTTGTGCCCCCGCCTCGGCCTCCCTTCCCTCACCCGGCCCCGATCCCAGTCTCTGGTGTTTCTACTTCTAATTTGCTCTCAACTTCTGGCTTCCTTCTGTTCTTCCTGGGATTTCGGGATGAGGTTGCAGGTCCCCAGGGAGGGACTTGGGACAGGTCAGTGTGCACACAGGTCATTCCCCAGTGCCTCAGAGCCAGCACAGCGGCCGGGGCCGGGGCTGGGGGAGGGGGGGGGAATGGGGCCGGCTCCTGGAGAAGCAGGCTGTAGCCCAGAGTCCATGCAGGCCTCAGGCGACTCCCCGCAGGTGGCCCTGACTTGAGGTGACAGAGCCGGCCTACATCCCCAGGGAGACCCATCAGGATAAGGCAGCTGACGTACCCGGGGCGACCCCCAGGGCAGCGAGCCACTGGCCTCCTGCCCACAAGTCCCAAGGTGATGACTTGTTAACACAGCCCCCGGGGCCCCCAAGGCAGCCTGCGGCACCCCCGGTCCCACAAGCTGCACAGAGACCCCAGGACAACCCTGGCCTGAGCCAGGACGCGCTGCTACCCTGCACAGGCCCCCAGAAGAAGGTGGCCCCAGTGAGTGCGGGCAGTGAGGCAGCGCCCGGGAGGGCCCAAGGCCCCTTGGCGCTACTGCAGAGGTCTGCCCGGGGTTCACCAGCCCAGAGGATGAAGGGGCCAGCCCCGGAGGGCACTCTGGTGATAGAAGAAAGGAACAGAGTTCCAGAAACCTGTGGCCCCAGGCAGGGGACCCCATTCCCAGCAGTCTCCCCAAGCTGGGCTGGGGGAGCAGCTAGTCAAACCCAGGGCTCACGTGCATGGTGGGGGGAAGTCAGGTGTCAAGGAAGAAGAGCTTTCAAGACAAGTGGCCAAGGTGAGAGTCAAGGCTAGTGGGGGGCTAAGGAGTGCTCCTTTGCCCTGGGCTCGCATTTACTTGTTCAGGAAGAGCTTGGCATTAGAGAACATTCCTGGCCCTTCTCCCCCGCCACACCGAGTCCACACAGAAGAGGGTGTCTGGCAGCCGGGAGGCCTGGGCCTTGCTTCTGGAATCCTGCAGCTAATTTAATAAAAGGCTGAAATCCTGGAGGACCCCCCCTTTGCTTCCCAATGCTCCCCAGATCCTGGCACGAAGGCAGCCTGGTCTGGTGGGTCTGGTGTGAAGACCCAAAGTCTCAGAGCGGGGACTGGGGGGACGGCCCTTTGGGTTTCCAAGCAGCTGAGCAGTCACGGGGCTGGGGCTGGCGTCGGCGCCCGTGACTTTCCTCTCCCCGTCATCTCAGCTGGTTGTGCAGCCAGGACGGGAAGGAAGGAGTGTCCCCCTGTGGACCCCCAAAGCCCCCTCGCCAAGAGAAATCAGAGTTCCCCTGGCATCAGCGACATGAAGGTTCCGGAAGGGGAAGCAGACGAGCCTGCTGGCGCTGTAGGAGCCCTAGGCCACATCTCACCTCCAAGGGCAAACGCACTCTGCGCTGCATGAAAGCACGTTTCCATGGAAGTCCTTCGGCAGGGGAGGGAGGGCGGGTGTCCAAACGGTGACGTCACACCCGCTTCTAGGCCCTCCCCCTGCCCCGGGGGAGGGGGGGCGCCTGGGATGAGGGGCGAGGAGGGGGGAGCACAAACACGGGCGATGACTCACCTGTCGATCTTTCTGGCGTCTCTAGTCTTCAACCAGTCTGGGAAGGTGGACCAGTCCCTAGAAGGGTCCCAGGGTTCTTGCCCCACAAAGAAGTCTGGAACGACGGCTCTGTAAAAGAGCGACATCAACCGACCTTCATCTCAGCCCTGGTGGGACCCGGCATTTGCTTACGTTCACTAAGGCACTGGCTGCGAGGGAGATTCTGGTTCAGAGGAGAAGTGGCGCCCAGGAGGCCAGCTTTGACGGCGTCCAGGAGGCCAGCTGGCACCAGGCCAGACCACTTCGGATTTCACAACCGTAGGTGCGCGGCCTCTGGCGGCCGCCTGCAGCCCGGCCCGTCTGGGATGACGGGGCAATCGGGCAGGGCACGCTCCCCACCGGATTTACGGCACAGGACGCAGCCCCGAGAGGCATGGGCCCAGTGCAGGGGTGCCCCGACCCTCCCCGGAGGAGTCGCATCACCCAGCTGGCCTCTCGAGTGGGCCTCAGGTCAGAGGGCACACCTGGGGAGCGTGTCAAGTCACTGTGACCAAGCAGTTTTTCCCCAGCCTCCCGCCCAGAGGGGAAAGTCTACTGCAGGTCCTAAAATGGGCCACGGAGAGCAAACAAGCCAGTCCACGGAGTCCGTGACCACCCTCCACACTAGTCAACCCCAGAGGGTGGGTCAACACGGCTCTGGCCACAGACCTGCTTCCTGAAATAAAGGCCATCGCCAGTGATGGAGGCGCACAGCTCTTCCTTCCCGGCGCAGAAGGAACCCTGACATCTGGGTCAGAAGAATCCAAGTCCAAGTCCCAGGCTGCCCTGTAACCTTAACAAGTTGCTTACCCACTTTTAGCCTCATTTCCTTGATCTGAAGAACAGGCTGCGTCCCGCACCACCCAACCCCAGGGACTGTTTTGAAGGAGAAAGGAGTTGTAGGCGTGTGAGGGGGGCTTTGTAAATTTCAGGCGCCTTTGCTCATTTTTTACGTTCTGTCTCCACCCAAACGACCCGGAAGGGCAACGGAAGCCCGCTGGCTGCAGCTGCAAGGTCAGAGCTCCATCTTCACGCCCTGGTCTCCTCAGAACAGTCCCATCCTTGGGGAGGTGCTGGGACGGTGACTGCACAGCTGTCCCTCGGCGTCCTCAGCACAGGCTCCAGAGGAGCCTGGGGCACCCAGGGCCGGCTCCTGTGTGCATTAGGGGCTTCCCCTGAGCGAGTTAGTTGTCTCGTATTCTAGACGGGACCCGGGGGCATGAAAAAGTGAAGATTGTCACAGAAAGCCTCTTTGCCGGCAGAGCTAACCTAGTATCACGTGGCAGAGAGAGTGCTAGCTTTCAGTCCTTTCTCTGGAGAACAAGGTAGGTACACACTTGGGAGTTGCAGCTTTGTGAGAAAACAGGAAACGGGGTGCCCCACGCTCAGGGCTTGCCGTGTCTCGGGCTCTCTGAAGCTTTACCAAGATCTGGACTGGAGCGAACACACGCGCTCCCCAAAGGGGACCGTGCAGCTCGACCTGATATAGGCATGGCCTTCGGGACATGAGTGAGGTCTCAGCGCGCGAGTTCAGGAAGCCCGTCTAATTCAGGCAGGACCGTGATGGCTTGTGTCTAAGAGAGAACCCTGCTTGGGACCATGGGTGCCCTGCTTGTGAAATCTGACTTGGGGCCAAGATGCATCAAGTGCCAAGGAGATCTATTTCGGAGCTGGCCAGGTCTGCCCCTGTGTCAGGGGCAGGGGCCCCCGTGGGGAAATAACTCCCAGTGTCCAGCAGGTCCTCAGGGCCAGGCAGTCCATGGAGGACCTGAAGCCCCAGGACTGGGCTGCTGTAGGTTCATGTGATTCACATTCCCCATTTACCCGCACCCAGCGAGATAAGGAAGTAGATAGATAGCTTAGCACACAGTCAGGGTGTTTTGGTTTTGTTTTCCCTGAAGGTAATAAAACAGATCGCAGAAGTTTCCACGAATTGAAGGAAAGAAACAGAACTTCATACGTACGTGTATCCATTTCCGGCGATCATGTCAGCCATGTATCTGGTATTGGGCAACTGCCAGCCAAATATATCTTGAATGACGATCACGGCCTTGCCCGTGTTGAAGGGGGGTTTGGTCACATAAGCCTTGATGTGCTCGACTTGAACTTCGCGCCCCATCCCTCCATATTCTATCTTATGGCCAATGTCACAGGGACAAGGATGAGCCTCGTTAGCCATTGGAGATACTGAAGTGGGGCTACAGAGAGAGAAACATGCATTATATTCTGAATGGTGCAAATCCAATGACTGTAAACAGTAAATAAACTAAAACCAAGAGTACAAAAAATGGGGCGCCTGGGTGACTCAGTCGGTTAAGCGTCCGACTTCAGCTCAGATCACAATCTCGTGGTTGGTGAGTTCAAGCCCCGCATCGGGCTCTGTGCTGACAGCTCGGAGCCTGAAGCCTGCTTTGGGTTCTGGCTCTGGCTCTCTCTGCCCCTCCCCTGCCTGTGCTCTGTCTCTCTCTCTCTCTCTCTCTTAAAAAATAAGGTAAACATTTTTTTAAAAAAAGAGTACAAAAAATAATTAATTTTAACTCACCACATAGTGTATTTATGGAGGAAACCGCTGATAACTTGGGATCTGGGCAGCATAGCCGATGAGGGCTAATTCCCATCACAAACATTCCAAATACCAAAATGAATGTAACCAACGGATAAAAATCAAAACGGGGGAGCTCATAGGAATAAAGGGAACCCCCAGCCACTGAGGGAGCCCAGCGATGCTGGGGGGCAGGCTACATCCAGGAACAAGCACTAACACCTCCTGCCACTTGGGATTCTGTGCCCAGTGAGTCCTCAGGACACCATGGGATGGGCATCTGTGACCAAGGCCCCATGCAGTGTCAGAGCCCCGAAAGGCTTATATTTAGTGGGGAACATAAAACCAAATAACAACAACAACAACAACAAAAAAGAAAACTCTACCAACCAGGACTAAGGCTATGATTAGAAAATCCAGGGGGTAAGAAAAAACCAATCCCCGGAAAATGTCCACTCTCCTTTCAAAGTAGAAATACCTAGACTGTGACATTAACGCAATCACGGACCCTGGGCAGTGAAATTCCTGGGCACCCAGCAGAGGCAAATGCATCTACTTAGAGCAAGACCTTCCCAATCCAGGACAAAAAGCACCACCCACTGGGGCGGCTGGGTGGCTCAGTCTGTTGAGCGTCAGGTTTCAAACGCTGGTCATGATCTTGCGGTTTGTGGGTTCAAGCCCCACATCGGGCTTGCTGCTGTAGGCACAGAGCCTGCTGTGGATCCTCTGTCTTCCTCTCTCTGCCCCTCTCCTGCTTGTGCTCTCTCTCTCTCAACCTCTCAAAAAAAAAAAAATGATAATAAACATTAAAAAAAAAACAAAAACCCAGCACCTGTTGAAGAGGGACAATAAAAGTGAAAGCCTGACGGCGGCTGGGGTCTGGATACAATTTGCAGGGAAAGCGAACTGTGTTTGCTGGCAGATCGCATGTGCAATCGGGCAGAGAGGAGACCGTGAGGATGAGGGTTTTTTGCCTGAGTAACTGGAAGACGACAGTGACTACATGAGAAGGAAACTCAGGAAGGGCAGGTTTGAGGAGATCAGGACTTAAACGTGGGGCAGAGAAAGTCTGAAATGTCTGTTCCACAAGCTGCGCGGACCGCGTGTAACTGGAAGTTCTGGGCAGGGGTCCAAGCTAAAACTACCAACTTGATCCAGTACGGTCAGCCTGTACCGTCGAGCTGCATTATTTGCAGACGCCATGCACGTGAACTTGCCTCGGCACAAAACGTATTTGCAACCCCAAAATCAGTACTTGCAGTGTGATTGCCACCCTCCACGGACTTCTGTAAAGCAGTGAAAAATCTGAGTCACCCACACTCATGGTCCCAGCCAAGGTCGAGCAAGGCAACGCCCGCCTTCCCGTATCAGCCCTCACCCTGTAAACAAGTATCCTTTTCGCTTTCTATTTAGCGCCACATCTTCTGCACTTAGGTGCGTTTGGGTGGTGATTGCGTTGTGTAAAGAGTGGACGCCATGCATGGTCCTGAAGAGCTGGCTAGTGAGGGCACGAAGGCTGTGTGATGTGCCTGCGGAGATCACATGTGCAGTCGGCAAGCCTAGTTCGGGCATGCATTGCAGCTGTTGACTGCAAGTTCAATGTTAACGAATCAACCATGTATTAAATGAGGTGTCTCCACACAAAAACACACATACAACTAGGTTATGCTCGGGTCAGTGGACAGAAATGTGACCAGAGGCTCCTAGAACCTTCTTGTATTTCCTCTTGGAGCCACGGTTCAGGATTTCCTCGTTTGGTGTCCCAGTGACATTACAGAACGTAACCACGTTCGACGGCTGACCTTGAACAACACGGGTTTGAACTGCACAGGTCCACGTCAACGTGGGTTTTGTTTTTTGTTTTTTTCCCCAATAAATATAGCACAGGACTGCAAATGTAGTTTCTCTTTTTTATGATGGTTTTACTATTTTCTTTTTGCTAGCTCACTTCATTGTAAGAAGACTGTGTATACTAAATACAAAGAACATGCAACCTGTGTGCTCATCAACTGCCTATGTTACTAGTAAAGCTTCTGTTCGGCCAACAGCAGACTATAAGGAACTACATTTCTGAGGGAGTCAAAAGTTACATTCAGATTTTTTTACTGCACCAGGGTCAGCGTCCCTAACCTCCTTCCCTCCCCGTGTTGTTCAAAGGTCAACTATACTGTAAATAATGAGAATCAGCTGTACATAGTATTTAAAACCTTGAGTGTGAATGACATCATTAAGGGAATGATTAGATAAAGAAGAAATAAGGAAAAAAGAAGGATCTAGAAGATGGAGCCTTCACCATCGAAGGCTTCGGGGAAATAAGAAGGAGCAAGTGCGCTTGAGAATAAACAGTCAGAAGGGGGGAACTCCCCATGCGCGGGCCTGGAGCCACATGAAGAGAGGTTTCCAAGGAGGGACGGTGTAGACGGAGGCGTTCTGCAAGAGGGGTGGCCACAGGGCTCAGCAGCGGGGACGTCAGGGTGACCCCAGGAGAGCAGGTCTGGTGGGCGTGATGGCAGCGGGCTTGAGGGAAAATGAGGAGAGAATCCGAGAGCATGAACACAGAAGTTCTTCAAGGCTTTTGCCAGAAAGAGGAGCAGAGTGTGAGCAGAAGATGGAGGGAAGGCAGAGCAACGAGTCTTTTCACTTTTTAATGGAAGAAATTTTCGTACATTCACATGTGGATGAGAACGGGTCCCTCACAGAGGAAAGCAAAGCAAAGCCAAACCAAACCAAACCCACAGTGCCAGGTGATGAGGGAAACTAAGGCACGGTAATGTAGCTTAAATTAAGTTTCCTGCCAGCGCGCAGCCCACTGACAGACACCTGACACGTAATCGCGTGACCTCCTTCAAGGGACTCATGGACGCCTTAGTGCCTGCAGGGCTGTGTTTTACTCAAGACTAAGAGTGACCTTGAGACGCCCGAGTGGCTCGGCTGGCTAAGCGTCTGACTCTTGATTTGAGCTCAGGTCATAACCTCACTGTTCGTGAGTTCGAGCCCCGCATTGGGCTCCGCGCTGACTCTCTCTCCCTCTCCCTGCTCCTCCCCTGCTTGTGCTGTCTCTCTCTTTCTCTCTCTCAAAATAAATAAATAAATATTTTTAAAAAAATAGGACGAAAAGTAAGCTTATCTCAACAGCAGCCTGCCCCTCGAGGTCCTGAAAGCCATGCTTCCAAGTTCCCTAGAGACTTTCGCTCTCCCTAACCCCCACCAATTAAAAAGTATACAGCCAGTCCCTCCTCACAACCCCAGGGCAGCTCCTGCTGCCCACAGCGCCTGTCCCTGTGCTATAGAACAATCACCTTTCTGCGCCAAAAACATCTTAAGAATTCTTTCTCAGCTGCTTGCTCACAAGCCCTAGAGCTGGGTGACCACCCACCTTCCTTGGAAGCATGGATGGGTCCTCTCTGTCCCAGGAGGGAAGGGGAGGAGGGGTGGGTGACGTCAGGGCAGGGGCCTGTGGACGCTACATGCATCTGCTCAGAAAACCCAGAGCAGATTCGACAGTCAGGGTGAGAGCAGTGGGGAGGCTGGAGGGCACGGGAGAAGTGGGAAAACAAAGGACCAGGAAAATGTACACGGTCCCTGAGGCCGTGTGCCCCCAGCCAGGCCCACCTACAGGACCTGGTTTGAGGCTGGCCTCGAGATGCAGCAGAACAGACCGGGCTCCGGAGGTCATTCATTACCGGGGTAGGAGGACTGACCAATCAAGGGGCAGGAGACGTGACACAGATCGCAGTGCATCCCTGCCTACCACGGACCTGCGCTGCCAGGTGGTTAGAAACCTGAGCAGAAAAGCAAAAGTAATCTGTTAGAAGAAAATAAAGGAGAACACCTTTTTCCTTTATCTTGGAGCAAGGCAGCATTTCTTACCTTAGACCCAAAAACACGAACCATAAAGAAAAAGATGAATACATTTCATTAAGTAGGTATTAGTCAGCTCGAGCTTCCATAACAAAATCCCACAGGCCAGGCAGCTGACCCAATAGAAATGTGTTTCTCACAGTCCTGGAGGCTGGACGTCCAAGGTCAGGGTGCCGGCCTCCTCACTCACAGACAGCCACCTTCTCGCTGTGTCCTCACATGCACGCTTTCTGGATTCTTCTTAGAAGAGCACTGATCCCACCATGTGACCTCACCTACACCTGATTGGCCAAGGCCCCACCTCCAAATATCATGTTGGGGGTTGGGCATCCACACGTGAACTTTGGGGAGACACAATTCAGCCCACAGCAGTAGTTAACTGTAAAAACCACATACACGACAACTGGGGAGACTGAACTGACCGCGTACCTCATGACATTGAGAGTTACTGTTCACGGACCGCTGGGCAAGGGCCTGATGCTACTATTGCAGTGATGGTTGTGTGTGTGTGTCCGTACCTGTCATAGCCACCTGCTGATGTATACACAGATGAAGCAAGTAGACATCTAGGATTCGCTTCAAAGTAGCCCAGGGGGTGGTGGAGGTGGGGAAGAGATATTACTATTCAAGAAACTATTCTCAAAGCCGAAGATTTAGTATCTAGATAAGACATAGGGAGAATTATTCTAAACCAACAAGGAAAAGACAAACCCAAGAAATAAACGCTCCAAAGATATGAACAGGCAACTCACAAAAGGGTACCCCTGAATGGCACCCAGACCTATGAAAAGATATTCAACCTCACTGGTATTTAAGAAATTATACTATTTTGTACATAAGAAAGACACTCTTTTGCATCCCGCAGATTGGCAAAAGGTCCGTTAACACCAAGAGATGTTAACCTACAGGGAAAGGGGAGGGAATGTGAGCTTGAAACAAACTCAAAATACAAACTCTGGAGAGACAGACTACTTTAGTCTCGCAAGGCCTAGCAAAGTGAAAGATGACGACACTTGCAACCCAGAAAGCCCACGGCTGGGGGTACTCCCTAGGGAGATTCACGCCAGTGTGCGCGCACGTGGCGAGGACGGAAGGGCTGTTCTTGGCGGCCATAACTGGAAGTGATCGAACTGACCCCCGGGAGGAACTGAGTTCGTCACTGTTGTGGGTTGAATGGTGTTGAGTTCCAACTCCCAGAACCTACGAATGTGGGTTCCTTATTTGGATACAGGTCTTTGTAGAGGTAATCAAGTTAAGACGAGGTCATACTGGGTCAGGGTGGCCACGGCCCCAGGAACTAGTATCCTTGTAAGAAGAGGGGAATTCGGTAAGAAACACACAGGAGAGAAGGCCCCGCGAGGCATAGGTGGAGACTGGGGAGGCATCTACCCGCCAAGGGACACCAAGGGGTGCCAGGGACCACGGGAAGCTGGGAGAGAAACAGGGAAGCATCCCCCTCTGGACGTTCAGAGAAAGCACAGCCCTGCTCACACCCTCACTGCAGACTTCTGGCCTCCAGAACCGGAGAGAATAACTTTCTGTTTTTCTGGCTGGCTCAGTCAGTAGAGCGTGTGACAATTAATCTCGGCGTTGTGAGTTCGAGCCCCACACTAGGGTGGACAGGTTACTTAAAAATTTTTTAAATCTTTAAAAAAGATACTCTGCTGCCTTTTTTTTAATTAAAAAAGTTTTTTTTTATGTTTTATTTCTGAGAGAGATAGAGAGACAGCATGAACAGGGGGAGGGGCAGAGAGAGAGGGAGACACAGAATCCGAAACAGGCTCCAGGTTCTGAGCTATCAGCACAGAGCCCGACGCGGGGCTCGAACCCACGAACCGTGAGATCATGACCTGAGCCGAAGTCGGACGCATAACCGACTGAGCCACCCAGGCGCCCCGATACTCTGTTGTCTTAAGTGACCAGCATGTGGAGATTTGTTATCGCCACCACAGGAAACAAACAGACTCATAAAAAAGAATAAAGCATAACAACTCCATGAACAAACTACATGTATATTTACCGATATACATCTTAGAAACATAATGCTATATAAAGACAAATGGCCTTTTTGATGCTAACTAAATACTAAAAACCCAAAATAATACTTATTTTATTAATAAATATACTGCAATAAAAGTGTACTGCAGGGGAATAAAACATACCACCATTAGACAGTGGTTACTGGCAAGGGAGAAAGCATGGAGACGACTGGCTCTAACTGCATTGGTTACATTTAATTTCCTAAGAAAGTAGTGTGTTGTTTTTTTTTAAAGATTTTATTTGTGAGTAATCCCTAACCCAACATGGGCTCAAACTCACAGCCCAAGATCAAGAGTTGCCTGCTCTACCGACCAAGACAGGCAGGAGCCCCAGAAAGTTTTGATTAAGGACAAATGTTTTCAGCGTGGGTCCCATGACTATGGGTGGCTGCTATATTGTTTCCTATACTTTCTAGAATATTCTGGAAGGAAAATAACTTACATTTTAAGGAAACACACATTAAGAGCTAGTCTTTTGCCCAAAATGAATTTGAATCTATTCCTCATGGGTTTGTATTCACAAGCTATGTTATGAAACTATTATTAGTAAGAGAAGTCACCCCAATCCGGCACCAACAGTGGTAAAATTTACACCCAGTGCACTATTTGTTCACAGCCGGTCTGTCAGG